CCGTGAGATTTTCCATCGCGGTGTTCCACTCCAGGCAGCACGTGTTCTCGTCCGCCGCAAAGATTGGCGGAATCAGCGGATTAGGGCTATGGACAATGGCCTTGTAGTCTCCTTGTATGTTGATGAATTTATCCATTACGATTTTCTGATCAGTAACATCCTGTCCGACGAAACAGACGCCGACAATGTTGTTCAAGTAGTCCTTACTCGAACACGCATTTACAACCACAAAAACTGCTTTCCCTTGAAGTTCAGGGCTGAAAGTTTTCAGCTTTACCTCCACATTCTTGTCTTCTTCCCCTGCATTGATTGCCAAATGCAACAAACTTATCAGATAACCGCGAGTTGTATTTATACCGCAGATACAACATAATTGGAGAACTGAATATACCTCTCAGCGCACGAGAAAGGAGTTTATCGACAGTTTCTTCATTCTCTTTGTATATTAGATCAGAAACCAGAGACTTCCCCATGGCTTCTTCAACCGAGAGACCAGTCAATTCCGCAATCTTAGCGTTCCATCCATTGATGCAGCCTCCAGCGTCCACAGCGAATATCGGCACAGTTGCTGTCTCGATGAGCCTAACCATCTCTCTAGCAACTGCACCTAACTCATCAATCCCCTGCTCTCCTGCCATACACTGAACAGCACCATCTGCAGTCTTAGAGTTCAAAGCTGCCTCAGATTCTTTAAAAGAGTCTCTTAGAATAAGCTGGAGCGAGTGAATCGCATCCATTTCCGCAGTTTCCCATGGTTGACTGCGGCTCTTAACAACTTCAAGAAAAGCCTTGAAAGAAGAACGAGGATGCATCCGTTGCCCATCATCTTTGTCCTCAGGGTGATGCTTAGCACCTCCCCATTTGATTTCTTTCGCAGTATGAGAACGGAACCAGAAAAGAAAATCTCTTTTTGTGATATACGCAACCGCCATACCGCACACAGCATCCCCTAACGCAGCTGCACCGGGATACCCTGCATCGCCTAAACTATCTGTGCTTAATCCAGTTGAATCCGCGTGATTCGCAAGCAACCACTCCACAACGTCTTTTATCTGAGCTTCTGTCGGAGCAACACCCAACGGGTAATACTTTCCATGGTAAAGAAACGCCGCACCGTCACATTTCACTAAGTCCATTATACTAGGACTCTGTGTAACAATTCCAGCAGGCGAGTCACGAAGAAGCATATCGCATAACAGTGTCTGCGTTCTCAAAACACGTTTCTCTGACATTTGCAACGCTAATTGCAATTCCATGTTTAACTGTAAACCAAATGCCTGCATTAGAAACTCGCAAGCATACCTTAGAGGAAACGGTATGCAGCGAGAAGAGGTGTGATGGCAAACGACTAAACCCCAAAGCCTCATCGAGTTTCTCCCACCAGCGACATTGCTTCCGTCATCTTCATTGCCGTTTATTATAACCGCCATTGCTAAAGACGCAATCGATCCCATGTTAGCCATATACTGAGAGTGACATCCGTGAGGAGCCCTGAGAGTAGAACCAACCAAACACATAGATTGAGTGAGCCTATCGTCTTGGACCACAAGAACCGGCGTGGCGTGGCAATCTACGATCATACGGACACGGTTCTGCTTGAACAAGAACCGTGACGCTTGAGGAATATCAGTTGCCGGGTAATGTAGACCGATGTAAGGCTCTAAATCGTCTCGTCTACTCTCGGCGACAACTTCTCCGTGCTCATCTTCATGAAACTTGTAGACCATTACACGGTCGTATCCAGTTAAGTCTCTGACGCTTTCCACAACAGTGTCACAGAGAAGCTTAATGTCTCCACCGGGAAGCGACTGTAGCTGTGAAATCGCGCGAACCGCGAGTTTCTGCGATTGGACTGCTCCGGCAATCGAAAGCGCTGGATCTTCGGTTCGAGCTGGCTCTAAATCGATGACGACCCCAACATCGATTCTATGGAGAATTGCGTAAAAGGGTTTACCAGTGTTCTTCGAGTGGATCCAAACCGGATTCAGCAGCGTGATTTCTCGAGCCACGAACGCACGCTCGAGGAGAATTGAGCTCGACGCCGTGAAGAGAGAGCGCACATCCGTTCCCATCGCTAGAATCTCCGGCTTCTCGAGGCTAGGAACGGATTGAGGCGTAAGCCCTAGCATTTCCCGCGCGTTTTCGCTGTAGCCGATGATTCTGAAGGTGGATTCGTCGACGGCGATCATACATCCGAAGGGCTGGATGTAGCCTCCTCGCTGGATCCTGGAGAGATACGCCGTGATCTGCTGTTCAGGTACAGAGGATCCGTACGTCGTCGTTTTGAGGGACTGTGAGTAGTCGAACGACTTGCCGGACTCGCCGGACTGTTCGAAGACGGCATGGAGTCTCGCGTCGACGGTGTACTGCTGGATAGCTTTGCTCATTGAATCTGTGTGGCTCTGAGGCTGATTTTGCGGCCTAAGAGATTTTGTACCCGAAGATTGAGCTTGTTCTCTCCGGTTATTATGAGTTGTTGTGTGGAGACTGCGGTGACTTGAGGACGCTGCTTCTTCAGCACGGCCAGGACCACTGCCGCTGTTTCCTCCGGAAACCATGTTAAATTTTCCTTTTTTGGAGCCTGTTCGTGTTCCAGTTTCCAAAAGAAGAATTTTCCCCGAATTGCCTCGAGCTAATTGCCTCGAGTGACAGAGTAATTAGGCCTCAATCATGGGTATTTGAAATCTGGAGCTCCTCATCGACGGCAAGTAGTGAACGGAGAGGAATTTTTCATCGGGCAGCTGTTGATTGAAGATTTTCTCAGCTCCATAACATAGAAAAATGGTGGAGGGGAATTCTCGAGATTATGTCAGATTACATAAAAAGAAAGAAAAAAGAGAAATTTTGGGGAGAATTATTCTCCATATTATGCTGAAAATTGAAACCGAGAGGTTCTGGTGGACTCGCACATGACTTTCCAGAGCTAAATTCAGAGTTCTCTCCACTCATATACTTTGAATTTTCTCGAGAAAACGGGTGAGATTTCGAGGGGAAGAAAATGGGAACTTGGGATCGGAGATAAGAGGAATTAAATATCAAAAGGTAAAATGACGACCCAAAAAAAAAATAGTTATCAAAAGGTAGAAATTGGGTTACGGAAACCAATTAAATGAAGCAGAGAGGGCAAATGTGTGTCTGTGAGAAAGAGAGAGAGAGAGTCAGCGAGTGTCTTGTCGTCTTCCTGATTGGCTTTCTTTCTCCATCGTTTTTTTTTAATAACTTTTTCTGATATTGCGTCCACTTTACAATAATTATGTATGTTGTCGTACTTTCAGAAAATCACCCCAAAAAACTTTACTATGATCAATTTAACCCCAAACTTTGGCTTGTCGTTTTCTGAGAGAGAAAGGTCCAAGATTTTGGCCCAATATCACGTGGGCTATGCTTTATTCTCTCTAGTGCGCGCACGTGGCCTCTGGGCCCTTGGCGCGTGGTAGCCCCTGGAGTGGTCGAATCTATAAGGACATCTCAAAATTTAATCGAATCTAACTCGCATCATCAATACCGCAATTCAAATCGTACAACTTTTGTTTGGTTTCAATTCGTTTTCGTGACATATTAAATTTGACATATTACTGATATGAGAAACTTGTTTTTAACTCTTCTTTTACACACAGATTCTCGTAGGTACGTACATAAGGATTTAATTATATATAGTTTGGTATAGTATTTCCATATCTGTAATGCATCGTTATGTACAAGCTTCTATAGTAATTGTTTTGTTGTTAATCGAGAAAGTATGCAAGCAATTCTTTAGGTAGAAACTGTGGAAGTAACAAATGTGTGTTACCGAATAAATACTGTCTTCTCATTGAACAATTAATATATTTGCATAATGTATATACTGATATACACGACGAAAATTAACCTTTTGTCATTATGTAAACCGGCTATACCAAAAAGAATAAAAAATAAAACCGGAGCTCACTGAACAGTCTCAATGCTGATATATATGCTATCATCTACTAGTCGTATAACTTCTAATTGATACGAGGTGTCCAAAACGACAAAATCTTAAAAGTCGTAGAGATGAATTTGGAATATTAGGTGATTCTATACCCCATTAACGTACAATTATTTTCCTTATAAAAAGAACAAAAGCGTTCAATCAATAATAAAAAGAACATACATATAATATAAAAAATAGCAGCAGAAAAGATAGAAATATGACTGACGTAGAAAATTTGTGTGCATGAAAATTAAGGGTGCCTTGCAGAAAGATATTTTGGGCCGCGTCACAGTTTCACGTTTAGTCACTGTTTTTGTCTTCTCTTTTTTTTTTTTCCGTGTATGTTCGTGTTGTTTTTATTAAATCATTTTCCTTTTCTTGTGTTTGCTTTCGAGCTCTATTATATAATCCAGCTACCACTGTTTTTGGACATTAGACCAACTCAAATGGAAGGATTTTAGAAGAAACTCTTTATATTATATGTATAAAAAATAATAATTAAATATTATAGAAGCTTTTAAAATGAGAGAGAAGATATCCAAAGTCTCTTGTTTCAGAACTTCTCTTTATGCATTTAAAGATTCTTTTTTCCATTTTGTACTTGATTTCATTTTATATTATTGTTTTGAGAACTCACACTGTTTTCAACAACCTATTAGAAATGGTCTTATTCCATAAAACATTTTAGTATATATGACGACAAAAATGATATACAGACGCAATTGTAAATATTAATTTTTATTAGTTGTATATATAAAAGGAAAAATAGTGCATAGTCAATCAGGGGGTCTGTAACTCTGTATACTGTATAGTGAGCAAACGCTGCATGCCCATGACCTCTTGTTTTGGTCCTGACGAGATATGATTGGATGACTACAAACTTAATCATGCACCTATCCGCACTGGAGTGTACAGTATACTACTTCTTTGGCTAAGAATCGACCTCAGCGCTTTTAACCAATAAGAGATTACCACGTGTCAGTGAAATCCAATTCAGCTAAGCCATCCAAAAGCGCTAGCAACGTGGCCGGATTTTACACCGGTAGTATTATCCACGCAATTACCAAATCACCCTTCCAGTCTTCTTTCTCGAGCCCGCCTAGCTTTTCCTCGTCTCCTCCATGAACGGTTTTATCAGTTAAAAGCTATTTTTTTTTGAAACAATGCACTTCTTGGTGCCGACTTCGTCGTCTTCTTCACCTTCTCCGGCCAACACTTCTTCATTCTCTCTATTATTCTTAGCTCCCTCTCAAATCCCTGAGAATCTCTGTAAATTACCAGTGAAGATCCATATCGGAACACATGGAATCTCCGGTCAATCATCTAAGCACACGTTTCTGTGTGCAGTCGTCGACAGATCTTCTTCAGTCGTTTCGTCTCAAAAGAAATCTCCGAATGTCGAAGGCGAGGAATCTAATGCGGAGGAGGGAGTACTTGTAGTTCGACGGCCGATGTTGGAGAATTCCGATAAGGAATCTAGTGTGGAAGGGGGCAAAAAGTATCCGGCGAGGATCGATGCCGGTCTGAGTAAAATAGCGAAGAAGATGCCGATATTTGAGCCGGAGAGATCGGAGTCGTCGTCGTCGTCATCAGCGGCGGCTGTTGCAAGGGCTCAAGAGAAGCCGCTCTCGGTCAATCTCGATCTATCTCTGTACAGGGCTAAGGTTCTAGCGAGGAATTTCAGATACAAAGACGCTGAGAAGATTCTGGAGAAGGTAACATCGCTTTCTTCTGCCTTTTAAGTCAGGATCATGCAATTCTACTTGTTCCAACAGTCACTATGTAAGATGAAATTAGAGATTGGTTCTCAGGTTATGATGATCCTTACAATGTTAGATTAGTATAATGGATGGTTTAGCTTGTTGAAGAGAGGGAAATGTAGCAAGTAGACATCTTCTGAATCTAATCCTGTCTTGTTGGATTTTAAGTGCATAGCTTACTGGCCAGAGGATGGGAGACCGTACGTGGCATTGGGGAAGATACTGAACAAACAATCGAAGTTGGCCGAAGCAAGAATCGTGTACGAGAAAGGGTGTCAAGCTACACAAGGAGAGAATGCCTACATTTGGCAGGTTCTCTATGGCTTCGTCTTTGTTACGTCTTTAAGTCCATGAGTTTGGAAACCATTTGGTTGATAGATTTTACTTGAAGACAACAACCCTGTGTCTTTCTCATGCAATGTTGTCTCCTGCACTATTAACAAAATTTAATCTTGAAAACAGTGCTGGGCTGTCCTGGAAAACAGATTGGGAAATGTACGAAGAGCAAGAGAATTGTTTGATGCAGCTACGGTGGCTGACAAGAAGCATGTAGCAGCCTGGCATGGATGGGCAAACCTGGAGATAAAACAAGGAAATATTAGTAAAGCGAGGAATCTGCTCGCCAAAGGCCTCAAGTTTTGCGGACGAAATGAGTATATCTACCAAACACTTGCCTTGTTGGAGGCAAAAGCTAGTCGGTATGAACAAGCAAGGTACCTGTTCAAGCAGGCTACCATATCCAATTCGAAGAGCTGTGCGAGTTGGTTGGTAAGTGTTTTGCATCATCAAGCAGGTTTGTCATAAGAATTAGGACAATGCTATTCCAGAAAAGTGTATCTTAGGATAAATCACTAAAGATGAATGTGTAAAATGAGAATGCCATGAAACTACGGTTTTCACGGAACCAAATTCTAGCCTCCCCTGTCTTTATCAGGATTCAGTTTCTAAAGGTGGACTGTAATTAGAGGTTAGAAAATATTCTGAATGATCTTCTCTTTTCTTGTTACATGTTCACTTTTATAAATAGGCATGGGCACAGTTGGAGATACAGCAGGAAAGATTCCCAGCTGCTAGAATGCTTTTTGAGGTAACTCCTTCATTCTCTTTTCTATTTCCCAGTCACAAAGAGGTCAAAACAGTGAAGGCTGTATATACATCCCAGGAATGACTTGAGTGCCTGTTAAGCCATTGGGCTACATATGAAAGCTTCAGGTTGTGAACATGCCTTTCCTTTTTCACAGAAAGCTGTTCAAGCAAGCCCCAAAAACAGATTTGCTTGGCACGTGTGGGGGGTGTTTGAGGCTGGAGTAGGTAATGTTGAGCGTGGAAGAAAGCTCCTGAAGATAGGTCACGCGTTAAATCCTAGAGACCCTGTTCTCCTTCAGTCCCTTGGTTTACTGGAGTACAAACACTCGTCTGCTAATCTTGCCAGGGCTTTACTAAGGAGAGCGTCAGAGCTTGATCCTAGACATCAACCTGTTTGGATTGTAAGTATTCGAGATTCAAACATAGCATGGGATCTGGTCGAATAGTTTTGGTTTATATGCTTTTAAGTTTTAACTTTAGGTGATGGTAAGTTCTACAGAAACTTGACCATTCACTTAGTAGACCTTAGTTTTACCGAGTTCTATCTGGCTATCTAATTAAGAGTCTTCATAATCGAGTATGGAAGAGGAAATGATTAATAAAGTGTATTGTGGCGTAGGCTTGGGGTTGGATGGAGTGGAAAGAAGGAAACACATCAACAGCTAGAGAACTTTACCAAAGAGCTCTTTCCATTGATGCAACTACTGAAAGTGCATCTCGTTGTCTACAGGTATAACTAATAACTACTGAAAGTGCATCTCGTTGTGCATCTCAGCGAATGAACACATTGAAAAAGCGAGGCATAAGATTTATTCAGTATCAACTACTAACGTGTTAGATACATAAACTTAACTAGCTGGAGAATTTGCTAAAACATTAACATATATGGTGGATGCGGAAACAAACGTTTGTGTCTGATAGGCGTGGGGAGTTCTAGAGCAGAGAGCAGGAAACCTATCAGCAGCAAGAAGATTGTTCCGAGCATCACTGAACATCAACTCACAAAGCTACGTTACATGGATGACATGGGCAAAACTTGAGGAAGACCAAGGAGACTCCGAGCGTGCTGAGGAAATCCGCAACCTCTATTTCCAACAAGTAAGCTCTTCTACACATTCTTGATTTCTAGCAGGATCTTCTATTAGAGTTACTATTCATCTGTTGATGGCTTCTTCTTCATTTCAAAACAGCGCACGGAGGTCGTTGATGATGCTACGTGGGTCACGGGTTTCTTAGACATCATTGACCCGGCTTTAGACACCGTTAAAAGGCTTTTGAACTTTGGTCAGAACAATGACAACAACCGGTTAAATGATACTCTTAGAAACATGGGTGGTGCTAAAGATAGCCAGTCCAATCAGCAACCAGGAAGCCCTGTGGGACGCGAGGATACTGAAACCGGGAGTGGATTTAATCTCGATGCGTTTTTACGCGAGAAACTATCGTTGGATCCGTCGAAGCTAGATGTTAATCTTGATTCTCAGAGGTTAGGGAGATTCATTAGAGGGAGAACAAGTGGTGCCTGAAAAAAAGGTGGGGTGATTTATTAGGAGTGTAAAGATGAAGGGGTCCATGTATAATTTTGAAGAATTGAAGGGCAGCAACAAAATTGCTTATACTCCCATTTTAAAAATATAAATTTTGTAAAAAGATTATGGAAGATTCTTAATAGAAAAATCAACTTGATGTTTCTTTCTTCAGCTGATTATCCTATTTGACCTGTTTCAGATTTCACATACATTATGAACTTCCGAAAAAAAAATTGATCAAAGATAATTCGAACCTTTTTTTAAGTTATCACGGTTTCATGTTTTTTTTTTTTGTTCCTTACCCACTCATAGGTCATAGCATTATGTGAGGAAAATTGTGTCTATTTCAATATTAATTTTAAAATTAAAATCCCCGCGAAAGCACAACTAATGGAATGTCCCTGAATCCAATTAAAACCCCGGCAATTTCAGTAACGGCAAATCTAGGGTTTTGAATCCGGCAATTCAGAGCTCTGAGATGGGAGATACAAACGGAGGCTCGCTCATTGAAGAAGTAGAAGACCCTTTCCTGGCGTTCATCGACTATGCCAGAGCTGTGATTTCACCGGAAGAAGACGAAATCGAGGATGCCGAGGAGAGCAAGAAGGATCCCAGCGAAGCCACGGCTGAGGCTAGCGGTCCGGGTTGGGGCTGGGTCGCGTCGCGTATCTTGAAAACCTGTACCGCTTATTCGAGCGGTGTCACTGCCGCGATTCTGTTGTCTGATCTCTCTCAGGTGCTTCCACGCTCTCCTACTTCCATCTCGATGTTTCTCGATTGTGATTTTATAATCTGTACTCTGAAATGTATGAATTGTTTATCATTGAATGTTTGTTTGTTGTAGGCATGGCATGAGCAAAACAAACCAGGAATGTCAAAGAGGAAGCCGGAACTTATAGATCAGATGAAAAAGAGTCACGGAATAAGAAGAAGGCTCGCTAATACTGTCACAATAGACTCGATTTACGAGAAGAATTTTTTGTCCATGAACAGCGTTTTGGAAGCTGTTATTATCAAAGCCGATGTTCTTCCTGGTATTATCTAGCAAAAACTCCTGTTAGCATTTTCATTTCCAGTGTACCAAATAGGTGGTTTATCAAATTCAAACATGATTGTTTCAGGTACAAACATATTCATGCTTACACTCGGGGATTTCTGGAGCTCCAACACTATTGATCTCTATCTACATCGGAGGTAATGAATCATAATCTCGTATAGGGATGAATTTGAGTGCCTGTTTATGATGACTGTATAGAGATTCTTATAAGCTTTTTATACTTGTTGCGTAGATATTATGAGTTGGTGGAAACACCAAATGGGATTCTTAGGAAAGGCAGAGAGGTTTTGGTCACTGGATGCCACCTTCGTACCGCTAGAGAAGGATGTGGCACTCCACGGTTACTTCCAACAGAATATCTCGTCATTTTGCTAGATGAGGTTGTGTTTTTAGTCAATCTTTTGAGAGAATAATTAGAAATGCAGTCTTGGATTTGCATTGAGTTAGTTCTAACTCTAACACATCGCAATCTTCATATAAATTTTTATTTGGAGAGTAATGGTTTAGTCTTTACCTGACTCTCAACTACTGTAGGACGAAGATGATGATGCAATCCTCATAGCAGCTCAATTTTGTTCGGATACTTTCTCATCTGTTTCTCTTGATGCTTTCAACAATGGAACTTCATACTCTTTGTATGCCAGGTAAGAGAATTATACCTGCGTGTAATATCACTCAGTACTGGTCTTGGTAAAGTAACTTACCACTCACATGCCTGGTTGCAAACACGTTCCAGAAACTTCAAACATTAATACAGTGATTAGATTATCAGATCAAAACCTTTTCGAAGTAGTGACTGGCAGTATCATTCCAAGTTTTGCGATTTCATAGTGAATTTGTAGAAAGATGTGCAAAGTTCTCATCAAAAAAAGATCTACGAAGAATATGTTGTGAGAGATTCAATGGGTACCTTGACTAAACTTCTATTGGCTTTTAACGCTAAAGCAAGATTGCAACTTCCCCTCTTGGTTTGAGTGCAGGATTGAATCGATAGGTCCTCTGGAATCTGAACTCCAGTTTAGTACTGCGCATAGAAGGCAAATTTCACTTGTAGATGGTGACGGCGCTAGGTTGAAATTTATCTTGTGGGGCGAACAAGTCATCGTGGCAAACCTTATGAGGTAAGATCCTGGCTAGGTGCTTCTATCTTAACTTTTTTTTACCAATTCATTTTTTTTTTTTAAATTCGTTTTCAGTGTGGGAAGTGTGCTCGGGCTTGAGAGGCCTTATATTTCTAGTCTCGAAGAGAGTGCAATGGATGGAAAGGATGAATTCTGCCTTGAATATGGTAGCGCAACACATCTCTATCTAGTGCCGTCAACCTTACAAGAGGAAATGGTAGATGGACTATTTATTGCTCTTTTTTTTGGTTTAGATTTTTACATGATTTTTGATATCACCAACTTGTTTGTTCTTCAGGTTTGTGTATCATTATCCCAAAATCAGTGTCAAGGATCTAAACTGCTTGGTTCAGTAGGAGTTTCGCAGGTGACATTGCCTCGTGATGCCGAGGGTTCTATAGACTTCAGTAATTATCCTTTTCGGGTGAGTAGAAGTTATGTTCCTATTTCTTCAAGCATGATATTAACTGAGGTTTATCAATCTAGAGGCTCTTTTCCCTTGCAAGTTAGCTTCATGGGTATGGTAATTGATTGATCTTTGTAAAGTTGTCAGAGGGCCATAACGTAGTTAGGATGGTTGTATGAGAGTATATTGCTTTGCTGCATCTACTAATATACCTCTCCTTGGTTGAAGTTCTGCAGACGATTATAACAGAGATTCGCGACAAAACCACTGGCATTAGTCTCTATGGCGTTGTAACAGATATCTTCCATGATCCAAATGCCACAAGAGTGGTCTTTTGTTTGAAAATTGAGGACACAACTGGAGCAATATGGGCTAGGCTTCACTTTAATAGTTACTGGTATCATGAATTCTGAAACGACATCCAAATAGCAATTTGGAGCCTCTAACATTCTGTTTTATGAGTTGTTTTTTTTTCTGGGTATGATTTCCAGGTCGTTGGGAAGGTTAGGACTTGGTCATGTCGTTTACGTTTCTGGATTATCCTGTAGAAGCACAAGAGAGAATTGGTAAGCATCTCTCTTGAAACTTAGAGCTATACTCATCCATCGCTATTAATTGGGGAACTAATTAAGCTCAAACATGAACGAAAAGCCTTATCAAAAAGGGAATTGGTTTTTCACTTTATTGCTTTAGCCTAAAGATTAATGGAGTTCTTGTTTGGTTGAGCAGCCTTGAGGTGTCATGGCACGAGAAGGACGAGAAAGCTACGTTCATCAACCTTAGCTGCTTGCCTGCATTTCTGAGCTCTTCTTGTCTTCACAGAATCTCTACCCTCTCCCAAATCTCAAAACAGAGAAAACCTGAAATTAACGTACGTCTTAGTTTCCAAATGATTTCACAGAACTTTATACATAGGTTTTCCTTTGTGCATCTCATTTATATTCTTTTTTTGGACAGATTTGTCGGGTTAAGCTGGATGAGATTGACCAATGCCATAACATCAACACGAGATTATCGCACAGCATTTGCGGCCATTTCATAGATGAAGAATCATCATCATCTTCTTCATCACATGGAGGAAATCTGCATTGTAGCTTCTGCCGAGTAAGCTGCAACAGTAACGCAGGATCAGAAGTAGTGAGAACTTTCCACGTAATGATAACTCTCGCAGACGAGGAAACCAAACTATACGCGTGGTGTACGGGTCAGTCCGCATCAGCTATACTCCAGATTTCCCCTGACGAATTCTGTGAGCTCCCTGAGGTAACAAACCAAATCTCTTTGTGTATGTTTGGTACTTAAAAGTTGTTATTTTATGGCAGTAAAATCCATTAAATCAGCTAATGTATAATGGGTTTCAGGATGATCAGCTAATGTATCCATCTTCATTGGAGAACGAGTGGTTCCTTGTGGCTTTAGCCGAAAACAGCGGTAGCCGGAATTTGGGTTCCGGCCATCGGTTGTCTCATGAGACGGAGGCGGCTTGCTGGGAAATTACCCGCGCTCTCAAGATTTAAACTACCATTATTGAAAGATCTCATTGGGTTCTACTTTTTTTAATTTTTGTTTTTTTTGTTGTTGTCATGATGATTAAAAAAGAAGAACAGAATCTGACCGTGTTAAATTAGTCGAGATGCTGTTATGAATTGAGTACGTGGCTTGATGTCTGTTTTGTTTTGGTTTCTAAAAAGGGTGGGACCGCTACATTTTCTCCGTGAAGATATTTTATTCACCACTGCTTTGTGAGCTGTTCTAATTCTAAGGCTGCGATCGTCTTCGAATCTATCCAACGGTCAGGAAGTGTACAGATCATAGGGACAGCGTTACAGAGATAAGAACCGTTGATATAATCTCACTAGTCTAGTCTTTTCCGACCAACACCATTTGTCTTGAGTGGCGCTGAGTTTGCACAGAGAGAGAGAGAGAGAGAATCAGCTTTCTTTGAAAAAGGTGTTCATACAGAGAGAAGAGAGAGAAGAGAGAGAGTATGGCGGAGAGTGGTGGTCGGAGAATCGGAGTGGCGGTGGATTTCTCGGAGTGCAGCAAGAAGGCTCTGAGCTGGGCGATCGACAACGCTGTTCGCGAGGGTGATTATCTTATTCTCATCTGCGTCGCTCATGATATGCATTACGAGGAAGGCGAGATGCAGCTCTGGGAGACCGTTGGATCACGTAAGATTTGATTATTTCGGCTCAAATTCTTTTTTTTTTTTTGTTGCTCCTTTTTCTTTCCTGGAGATTTAAGGACAGAAACGCCTTGGTGTTTTATAGAAATCGCGATCGGTGTCGGTTTAGGGGTTTTCAGTTACTACTTCGTTTAGCCTTTATCCGATCTTGCAAAATCTCTGTTTTGACGGAACTTGAAACTTACTCTGCCATCGTTTGACTTCGATTCGTCTTTCGTTTTTTTTTTTCTTCTGTTAAATCAAGAATCTGTTTCAGTAGGTATTATTTGATTGTGTTTTTATTAACTCTCTCTCTTCATTTCTCTGGAACATGATGAAGCCTATTGCTTCTTCTTGGTCATCTTTAATTGTTGTTTTCCCAGTTACGGTTTGATGTTCGTGTATCACTAGAATGGATCTTGTTCTTGTTTTGACTCTGGTTTTCTGTTGTAAACATTTCAGCTCTGATTCCGCTGAGTGAATTCTCTGATGCTGCTGTGATGAAGAAGTATGGAGTGAAGCCAGATGCTGAAACTCTTGACATTGCCAACACAGCCTCTAGGATGAAATCGGTATGCTTCTTGTTTCCCTTTTGGATGCATATTTCTTCAAAGGTTGCTAGAAGAGTCCATAAACCCTTTCTGCAACTTAAAACCATAAACTTTCCTAAAAGTCTAATTACAAAACTATACTAGAATTCGAACGCCAAGTTTATGATTTAGTGATTTTTCAATTGTAAATAGTTTAAGAGTCCTGATGAATTGGAAAAAAAACAAACAATTGTCTGCCTCTGGTGGTTGAGAACAAATCATTTTGACCTTTATTCCGCGTTTGAGGTGTATTGTGTGGGACTTTACTATCGAATAAATGAAACTTTCCTAACAGATTTAACTAATGATCAACTGTTGTGAAACATGAGCAGATTACAGTAGTGATGAAGATATATTGGGGAGATCCTCGTGAGAAGATAAGTGAAGCAGTTGAACAGATTCCTCTCTCAAGCCTTGTCATCGGTAACCGAGGCCTTGGTGGCCTTAAGAGGTACAGAATTCTCTCCCTTTTCCACATTTTTCAACATCTCAGACCTGGCTTGAAGTGGAAACCAAACAAATCGAAATAAATTACACACATTGAAAAAGTATTGATTTTTTTTTTTTTTGCAGGATGATAATGGGAAGTGTTAGCAACCATGTTGTGAACAACGTGGCATGCCCTGTGACCGTCGTGAAGGCTCACACCTGAGCTTTGTATATTCTAAGATTTGTGTTTCTTGTGTCGTAATTTGTCTCGCTCTTTTTTTTGTTTTAAACTGTTGTGCGACTTGTATGTTGTCTATGAGTGCATCCTTATCTGTTAATGGGTAAAAAATTACTTCACCTCCTAATAAAAATAGACTCGTTTTGAGTTTTGGACCAACTGTATTTTCTTTTCAATATTGTAAATGTGTATTTATCAATCTATATTTTACAGAAAAAGGAATTAAACCTGACCACAGTAGTTACAAGTTATACAACAAACTTTGTTGTAGACAAGCATGCCTTCTATTGTCTTTGCTAAACGAGACGTCAAGGCATTAACTATTTTGTCATTCAGGCAGAAGGTTGATAATACTGAAACACAGGAAAAATGTCATAAACACATAAATCAAGTCAAAGTCTCGAGACTAATTTCATAAACAAGACACTTGGCATTCATTTATCAACCAATCATAGAGATATTCTCCCTGGCCTTCTTGGAGATTAGGAGAAGCTCGGTGGGTTTGATGAGCTTCAAAGTGCACTTGTCACCGACCAGTAGAGGGTACTCTCGTGCCAGTTTCGACCATCCGCTTGAGAAAACTGTCCGAGCCTCCCTCACTAGGCAAAGCACCCTCCATGAGCCGCTCCCTTTCGAGTGATGTATCGTGAAGATCATAGACTCATTAGGGATATGCTCCTCCCCAAAACGCTTTGGGATTGACTGATAAAAAAGTAAGATATTCACATATCATCGATACAGAGACTGTGTGTACTGTGTATATTGTATAATTGTCGAATCATATTGGTATATATAAATCTTACCAGGAACTTGAGGTATGATTTCCTTATGGTGATTGTGAATTCTGGAACACCATTCTTCACTTTACAGCTCGTGATCTCCCTCTTCTTGGATGTTTTGGCTTTCTCAGCGTTCTTCTTTATAACCTTGTGCTCAACTCCTCTTGAAGATTCACCTATTTCTACCGAATTCACCACATTCTTGCTCTTCATCTTCTTGTATGTTTTGGATTCCTCAGATTTTTTCTTTCTGACTTTGAGCTCTTCTCCTCCCATAGATTCACCTGTTTCAACTTCCTTCTTCACGTCTGCGTGGCTGCTCTCGCCTTGTTCTTTCTTGATCCCACCTGTTTTCATCACCAAAGTAAAGAATTGGTTAGTCTTCTTCTCCATCTTCTCTGTTTCATAAAGCGCTAAACACAAAGCTTACTAGAAGGAGCCATTGTCGGAGGCATGACAAGCTCCTTGCCATCCTGCTGGTAGATGTTGACATTGAAGCACATTTTCCCTTTGTGAGTGAAGGTAACAAACTCGTTGTCTCCCAAGGCAAGGTCGCTTACAAACTGGTTCCATCCGGGCTTCTCTATGTAGTAGAACCTTGGGTTCTTGGAGACTTCTACTTCCCATGAGCTTCCCCATTGCGCTCTTATCACCATCTTGTAGGAGAAGTCTTTGTTAGAGAGTCCTTTCATGAAGTTGTAAGGAATCGCTCTCTGTTTTGAACGAACATACAATAAAGAATGTAAATTACAACATCAAAGATTTGAAGGCTAAAATTTCATTATTTCGCAGTTGGTCTAATCACAAACAATTATAGCACAAAAATTCGAGAAAATCACAAGAGGAAAGATCTGAACATACAGACAGAGAGGGCACAGCTTTATGTTTTTTGAAAGCAGAACAAAGAAAAGCAGTGAACAAATGAAGAAACTTATTTAACTAGACAAAGTAGTGAAAAGATTAAACCTTTCATGAACACAACAAGACAACCAGAAGATTGTAAATTTTCAAGCCAAGCTAACAAGATTCAACTTTGTTAAACACAGTGCACCTAAAGATTCAACAGTTCAAACCCAATAAACACCAGATACCACCAGATTTAACGTTTCAAACATAAAGAAACGTAAAGATATTAGAGATCCAGCAGATTTAGTCTTTCAAAAGCGACCAAAAGATAAAACCTTTGCTTTAAGCCCCTTAAACACAAGAAAGATTTAGAAAAAAAAAACGAAAAGTTTCCACTTTTGAAATGAAGCTATCAAGAAAATCACAAAGTTAAGGATAAGATGAGGTTTAGAACAAAGTTACCATGCATTCAGAGGATAAATCTGCACTCTGAAAAATCTTGAAAAAGCTCAAGTCCTTTCGTTCATCTTTAATCCGATCAAAACCTCTGTTCCTACCCATCTCTCTCTCTCTCTCTATCTCTCTCTCTCTCCTTCAACTTCTTCTTCTTCTATCTCACTCAAAACCTCTTCACTTTCTACTACCTCGTCTCTCTCTCCGTTTCTCTGTCTCACTCTGGTATTGTGAATGAGAAAAGTGTGTCTTGTATATATCTTTCAAAGTATTTTACCTTTTCTTATTAACTTTTCGAAAACCTTTTCTTATTTCTATCGATTTTGTTTATGGGTTAAATCTGACTTCACAGACACGCAAAAGCAGAATGCTAGTTTTAGTATCTGAGAATCCCTGATGTGGCAAAAGGACACTTCAAACTTGCCTTTCCTGTGTTTTGTCATTTAAATGATTTAATATTTGCTTACGATAAACTAATAATAATTACAGCTAACTTTATCAGTGTTAAAACTTGAACCTCATTTATTTATCTTCAGTAACTTTTTTTTGGACGTTAGTAAATATATCTTTTAGCAGTCAAAGGTCAAAGTGGAGAAACTGAAAAGTTAAAATTACGGTACAAAGATGAGATCACCTTGTCCCTATGGATCACAATAAATTAACGTGTTTCAGTAATTTATAAGGCAAATGTACATGCAGCTATACATCAAATAAATTATGTTTCTGTAATTCATAAAGAAAATGCACCAGACGACAAATAAATGCATAAATGACCAACGCTTCTTAAAATGTTAAAGTTGTGAATCTTGTCTTTTGTCTTTGAGAAATGTATAGATTTTAAAACTCGAAATCTCAAAGACTTCAGAGATAATGTGAGGAGATAGTTGTGATCATAATGAATAATCAGATTTCAACTTCTAGTAAAAAAGCATTGCTGTATCAATAAATAAATGTATTAATAAAAGGTCGTCACTCGTCAGTAATATATTCAAATCCAAAATACAATAGGTCACAATTTATAATCGAATCTATCAACTAAGTTGCAAGACAAAGTCACACTTAAATTATTTACCACATTTTTATGCACTTCAATCATATCATATTCATATATATATATCAGACGACCAAACCCCATTTCCCAAAAGCAGCAGATTTAGTCATTCATCGATCAGCTTTGACATTTTTAACGTCTGGTTCGACGATGTTCATCAGAGTTCAAGACTCATCCATAAGCCCAGCACCATAACCACTTGATCTTATGAACTTCTTAAGGAGAAGAACCACGATTGCGATTGTGAGCCCAACAGCCGCCCATGTGAACAGTCTGTCATCGACTGGCTTCTGAGCCGCTCTTCTGACCACCGTTTGCTCATCACTTCCAGAAGCTTTTGCCGCAACCTCAACTGTTGCTAACGCTCCTGCAGTGAGACTCACATTAGCTGCTATATTGACTGCTTCAACCGCTTCTTCAATGATTTGATCATCAGCTATGGTATCTGTTGTAGTGATGGACTGCTCTTCAACTACCGTTGTGGCTTCCTGTGGCTCAGTTTGGGACTGAGCTTCTGATTCCGTGGAAGGTGTTTGGTTAGATTCCAGAGGAATAGGTTTTGGAACCACGGTTGCTTTGCTTAGTATGTAATGATGAATCTGCGATCAGTAAAAGGAAATGATTACTAAGTTGTTTCTCAAAATTGAAGATTAATAATAGATAGGCCATATCATTAAGAGAAAACAAATTATATCAAGTACATGAAGAAAGGTTGCACCAAAAAAGAAAAAAAAATCAAGTACATGAAGAAAGGATCAGGAGTCAAAATTCTAAGGAGGTTATTAACACTATTTGTTTGAGAATAATAGTAACCTGTACCAGCAAATAATCTCAATGCATAGAATAACAGCTGTGACTGCGGTTAATAAACACTAAATCTTACGCGCTAGAGATATGCAACCTTAATAATATTAAGGCCATTTCCACCAGCAGCTCTTCCTATGGTTTATAAAGACAAAATGCTAGCTTATACTCAACTAGTCAATAATCCAAATCACGATAAAATCTAGCAAAATTCATATATTATCAACAGAATATTATGCATTGATTAAAAACCTAGAGGGTGTCCTAGCGAGGGAATATACCTCATCAATAAGTTTTTGCCGTTCAGGAGAGCCATGCTTGGGTGGTGCCTCACGTGATTTAATGGCTAGTGTACGCCTCTCTTCTTTTGGATAATCTACTGAGCCCAGTGCTCCACTGGGGCTTGTAGGCATGAACGCAATGAGAGCCACCAAAGCAGTCCGAACTGCAAAGAAATATAGCTCAATCATAAGAGCAAATAGCTGATTTATACTTCAAAGACATGTGAATCACACAAGTGTCAGAGTGCTCTTATGAGAAAAGAAATAACATAACATTTAAGATATGCGGTCTCTTCTGAAATGTTGTTGGTGGTAGGCACAAGGACATATAAAAAGTCAGTGACTTTACCACTCCATGAAGGTTGCCAATGCTCGGGATGGTAATTTGAAATGCTCAAGCAAATCTTGGTATTGGTTTCAAAACGACCGTTAGGCTGAAGAGAAGAAGAAAAGAAAAAGAAAAAAAAGCAAAGAGACTAATTAGAAAAGGATTCTCCTTTTTGTCTTACAACATGGGCGTGTTTCTATGTGTGAAAGAAGAGTAAGATCCTTACCGTCAATAACATGAACGAAGGAGGCTTGAAAGGGTAATCTGCAGGAAGCTGAATTCTGCCATGATAAATCCCGCCCTCAAATTCAGTGTCACCAGGACCTCGGATGGCGAATTGCCACTCAAAGATGTTCTCCTAAAGTTATGATAAATAGAGCAATCATGTAAAAATAGCTACAACATTATCCATACTCTCTAAATTTCAAACATGCCAATGTTGGACACATATTGACAGTTTTTCACGAACTATCTAGGTCAATCTGAAAATCTAAAGGATAATAGATGATTAGCATGAAAGTAGCTCAAAGGAGGGCTCACAATCTTCTCTAGATGACTCAATAATTTCATTAAAAACACAAATACACGAGTAATCAATGAAGAGACTAGACTAGCAGATTCAGTGTATACATAAGGATTATCGATCCTCACTTATCGTGATCGCCTAAATCAAATACCACCATTCTTGACAAATACACCATTTCTAGATCTATAGGAACAGAAATCGAGTACATATACAAATGATCAAGAACGAGGTTTCGAAGAAAATTCTAGCTACAGAATAGATCCAAAAGCTTTTTCAATTTCCAATTTCGAACTCAGTTTAACCCAACCTCGAGTAGAAACACAAGGAAGATTCAGCAAGAGAAAGATATTTCTCTCCAGGAAGAAAAAAATAGATGAAACACAGTGAGAGCTAATTCATAATATAGATTCTCCGATCTCAAAATGTCAAAGTGAATAACATAAGGTGACTAGCATCGACATGTTACCTCAAGAGGAAGAGACATGAAATCATCAGATGGATTTGCTTGCATCTCCTTAACCTCCTGCAAGATCCTCTTTACCGCCGGATTCTTCCGGTTGTACCTCTCATCCGCCATCTTAACGCCGCAGATATCGCCGGAAAATGTTATCCGCCGCCGGAATCCGCTCGGTCCGATCCGTTTCAAAAAGAAAAATAACTAAACACGCAAATTAGGATTCACCACACAACTGTGGGGAGATGATTACGGTGAGAAAGACAAAAAACTGAAAATAATTCGACAAATTGTTTCCACGTCATCACTCTTATACTAGTGAATAGTGATACGTCACGTGACAGCTGCTGAATAGTTATCCCAAGGATATCAACGGTTCAGAAATTACCACGTAAACAGCGTTTTTAAATCACTGCCGTTGAATTTGGTTGAATCTAACGGGGCTTGGGCCAGTACTTTAAAGCCCAGTATTACGTGCACGTTACAGTGTACAGAAAGTCAAAATGTTGTTGACAGAGACAAGATGATCGATGAAGAAGCAACTTCAATGGAGAAACTGGAGAAGCGAGGGGTGATCAACACGTGGATTGATAAGCACCGCTCGATCTACACGGCGGCTACACGCCACGCCTTCGTCGTCTCCATCCGAGACGGATCTGTTGATCTCTCGTCCTTCAGAACTTGGCTGGTACTGTGAATTACTGATGAAAACCAAGACAAATCTGAGTCTCACTCGATGACTTTGAAAGAACTCGTTTTTGATGCAGGGGCAAGATTATCTGTTCGTGAGGGGATTCGTGCCGTTCGTAGCGAATGTTCTGATCAGAGCCGGCAAAGAATCCGGCGAGACTTCCGACATGGAAGTCGTGCTTGGTGGTTTAGCTTCGTTGAACGATGAAATCGAATGGTTTAAAAGCGAAGGAGCTAAGTGGGATGTTGATTTCTCGACCGTTGTGCCTCAAACGGCTAATCTAGAATATAGCAGGTATCGATTGTATATGTTGATTTCATAGATTCACACTCGAAACTGAAATTAGAGAATCATCAATTTTGTGGGTATGATTCAAGGTTTCTGGAAGCTCTGATGAGCAGTGAAGTGAAGTATTCGGTGATGATGACAGCTTTCTGGGCAATTGAAGCAGTGTATCAAGAGAGCTTCGCTCACTGTTTAGAAGACGGGAATAAAACTCCGACGGAGCTTACCGGAGCTTGCCACCGGTGGGGAAACGACGGGTTTAAACAGTACTGTTCATCTGTCAAGAACATCGCCGAACGTTGTCTGGAGAATGCCTCCGGTGACGTTCTCGCCGAAGCTGAAGATGTTCTTGTACGTGTTCTTGAACACGAGGTCGCGTTCTGGGAGATGAGCCGTGGAGGGTAGTAGCATAATCAATGTTTTCTGTTCAGATGTTTTTCGATTTGCTCTCAATCTCAAAGAGAAACAAAGTTTCGATCTTTTTCTTTTCTGTGAAAGACAAATTTGGTATTGTGATTTCGAAAGATTTTGCTTTTGCCTTATTTAACCATGTGAATCCTTTCTCATCATGTGACACACGACTAAAATCTCCTAAACCGGATTGTCTCTAAATGGGACACAAGCTACATGAACATATCTCACACCTACTGGTGATAAACTACATGAACATGAATGTCCTAAACTCTTCAAGAACTCATCAAAACATAGGTCGATGATAAAACAATTGAAACGAAAAGGCAATCTATTCTCTCCAGCGATGACCACAATTCGGGTTGCAGCAGACAAAGAAGAGTGTCATTCCTTCTTCGCCTCTAGCCGTAGCCTGCACATTCAGTGATAGTTGGTGTTCATTCAAGCTTTACTTGTTTGATGTAGCATAACCGATTTGATTAATGGTGCTTAAGATAGTTATACCTGGAAGAAAACAGCCTCTCCGTGCTGACACTTGGCGCAACGCACGGCCTTGGTTCGGGGAAGAGTTGGATCAGAAGCTACGTCGGTTAGGATCTGAGTTCGTTCACTTACAGAGTGATGAACCTCGTTTCTGTACACACAGCTGTTATCAGCCGCTTCCTGCAAGTCATTTAAGTAATGAGGACAAAGAAAAGAACCCACTTACATGATCTGTTTTGTAACTTTTGTGACAATTCAACAGAGAAATTGTCAGTAATTACTCATTTAATGTATCCAAGAAGCTAATTCTTTCCACAAGCTTAGAGGAAATCATAAGAACTTGCTGGATAAGCCTTGATATAGAGAGGTTGGTGCAAGCAAGGAAACTCAATGGTTAATACTAGCATTTAACGATAAAAGCAGGAAAGGGTTTCAATAAAGTCTCTTGATTGGGACTTCAGTCTCAATCCACTCACATTATGTGCACAACATTGAGCCCTAATTAAAACCCTAATATTGCCAAACGAAAAGAAGAAGCATGACCCAAGTTTAAGTTTTTTTAAACCTGGTGTTCACAATTACGGCAAGCGTATAGGAGGATCTTCTGCTCCTTGTCCTCCTTAGGGTATAGAATGTTATTACTGTAGAAATTCAAAACCGAAACAAGAAAAAAAGCAATTAAGGAACCGGGGTGCATTTACAAAGATAAATTCGAGCAGATTTTATACAGAATGCTTTTTACCATTCGCGGCAAAATTTCATAGTACTCATCTTCGCTGAATCTGTTGAGGGTGGTAGAATACTCTGGCGTGCTCTGTTTTTTTTTTTTTTTTTTTGTGCGTGGGAAAGATTAGATCGTCTTTCGAATAACAGAACGGAGTCGTGATCTACGGACGGTTAATTGGACGGTTAATTTCACGGATATCTTGGCCACTTATGTTTTCTTTGGTAACAGAAATTTGTAAAGCTTTATTGGGCCTGAAACCCATATTGAGCCTATTTTATTTATCTTTGTAATGTTATTGTTTTCGGCTTTGCTGCTACAGAGGCAATGGCTTCGTACAGCTTACGCAGCTTCTCGCTCATAGATCGGTAAATAATACCATCAGCGCTTCCCATTGCAACCTGATACGATATAAACGTGAAAATGAGAAAAAGAAGGGAATAGCTGAAAGCAAGAAATTAAATCATGCCAATACAGAATGTGACAAATGGAAAATTAGCATTTGTTATCAGACTGAAAGTTGCATCTGTTTGTGGATGGGAGATCAGAGCTTACGAGTATAAACCCTAGCAAATATGGTGTGATTGGTATCTAAAAGTTAAATGGTTCCAGGATTTTGTTTCTTGCCAGATATCAAATACTTTGTTCTCGGCTGCTACAAGAATTTGTTCTCTCCCAATGTTTTTTATTAACAGGACTAAAACCAAAAGATGCGACAAACCAAACCTCAGTACCTCATACATGACCTCTTTGTCAACGTTTGACTTGAGGAATTCCTCAGGGTTCTCCACACACGCATCAATAAGCCTCTGTCCACAAAAATCAAGAACGTTCAAAAGGACTGGAGATGGAACTTTTAATCAGAAAACAACCAATAATCTTAAAAACGAGTTACCACATCACACATACCTCAGCAACATACGTATTTTTTTTTTGGTTTAAAGAATAGATTTGTCTTAAATTCTGTAACCACAATGTTTTCTCCGGTATTGATCAGTACGAGTAGCTGAAGCATGGTTTGACAAGATCAAACTGTGACCGTTCTTAAAAAAGATAAACAGTTTAATTATGATATAAATTTTGCCCATTTATACCCTTGATTTATATGAAATGTTTTCACAAAAAATTGGAAACATAACATTACCTGATAATAAAAAGTATATGCAATAGATTTTGGTTTTTTAAACACATTTATTGATCTGATCTGTATTTTACCTCAAAATAATTATGAATCAATCTATCTTTCATTTTCATTGCGAGCTTCAAGATGCTATGAAGGATAACTGATTGATTGTGCATTCTTGTTAGTATTTTTGGTTTCACAAAAATTGAGGAACATAACATTACCTAAAGTATATGCAATAGATTTTGGTTTTAATACATTTATTAATATGATTTTTTTTTAGCTTCAAGATAACTAAGAACATAATTGGATATGGATCTATTTTGTGCGGTTATTGTACAATTCCAAATGAAATTCTCTATTTTATATAATCTTTTCCAAGATTTATATCATAATTAATTATTTTAGTTCTTTCTCCATAATTAATTGTTTTAGTTCTTAAATGTATTAAAACCAAAATCATAATCATTTAATAATAATTTAGATAAAATAATGTGATGTCAGATAGACTGAAAACAGTAATAAATGAACTGCGTGCAACTTTGCAGCTTAATAGCGTTTCTCCAACCACTTCAGGACCTCATAAGTCTTCTTCTTGTTCATAAAGATGACCATCAGAGCAGAGCAGGATGTGGACTAGCTGATCCCATTCCACATCCACATGATCAAACTCTTATTCTTGTTCATAAATATAAAATCCCTCTTCAAAGGCATTAGCAGGTTCACTTGAAACTGATAAGTCTTTAGTTATGACAAAGATGACATAGATGTCATTGTTGTCTAGCCATTCAAACCTTGACTGTTCGAAAATCTCTACTATATCTGGATCGGTATGATTCGTTTTGCAGATTGAAAGCCATAAGAGTTTGTGAATGAATCAGATCAAGAAATAATACCCAAGAACACAGGCAATGTTAACCCAATTCACGATTTCGATCACTCTCAACGATCCCAACTTGGTTTTTACACCCGCTCGTTCTCTCTCTACAAAACCTTGTGCTATCTTTGTGCTTCTCATTTACAGGTTTAATGGAGGTTTTATGGAAAGAGTCACAAGAAGCTAAATTAAAGACTTAACGAAGATTGAGAGATAATGGTGAGATCACCAGAGCGAGTCGCAGTTCTGGATTGAAGAAGATGAAGAAAGATCTTTGTTAAATCTCTCTTCTTCTGTGTTACCGTCTTCGACTCGCGACTCTGAAGAATCTCTATCGTTTATTGAATCCCTCTGATTCTCAATCTACCAAAACTCTTTTCGATTACCATAATCTAGCAGAATCTCGCTTCTTCTGTGTTATCTTCTTCCACTCGGGACTCTATTTCTTTTCTTTTAACTGACGCAAATACTTATAACAGAATTTGTAACAACTTATATAACTACTTTGGAATATACATCGCGAACTTTGTTTTCTAATTTCATTTAAAATTATCTCTCTTATATATAACATTTCTGAATAGAGAACCTCAAAGAGTATAAACACTTGGTAACACTACGTAGAAGTAGAACACTACGTAGAAGTAGAACACTACGTAGTTATGCAATGTCGGAAATATATATCATTAAGTTTTGCTGAATGAAAGAATATAAACTACCGAAAACAAATAAATTATCTGAATTCTTTTCTTTATATTTATATATTATTCTATATAAGTTACATATTATTAGAAATATTTTTCCTTGTAACATTTTTACATGTTTTTCAATATATTCATACTACATGAAACTCTAATAATGATGTAAAATTCTAATCTCACTCATTAAATATTCATAGTGAACAAAGAAATTAATATTGTTAGTTATTTAAGAAATAAAAATATTACTAGTTAAATAATATCAAATTTTAATTTAGTTTAACTAATTTCACATATAATTTTTCACTTGAAATTCACTTTTATAATGAGTGGTTTTGAATTATTATTATTTAAAAAAAAAAAAACAAAAAGGCATAGATGGTTTCTTTGTATATTTTTCTAAGCAAAAATACAGTCTTTCTGTTTTACTTTTCTTATCCGCATATCAAAAAGCGTACATGAGGGGAATATGAGGCTCTTCTAGATCATCAGATGTGGTCAGTGTCTACTTTGAATCAGCATAACACTAGGCCATACCAGATCATAATCATGGACAGGCTGAAGATGGACTGTTTCCTGTGAAAACATTCCAAGATGTCATTCATAGATTGGGCTCTTTAATTATAACAAAAATGTTGAGTTTATTCTTAAAGGAATGGCTGCAATTCCTCCAACCTGCACCCCAATTGAGACTGAGGCTATAGCGGTGCGTATGGCAGTGCAGCATGTCAAACGCTTGGGGTATTCACAAGTTATCTTCTGTGGTGATGCTTCAGCTAGTGCACTAGACATCTCGAGGAAGCAAGCTCATCATCTAACGTGGAGAAGTTCTTCCTTGTCAATGTCAACCTATCTTCAAGACATCAAGAATGTTAGCCCATGGAACTGTGGTTTTAATTTCCTCAAAATTCCACGCAATGTCAATGTTCTAGCTGATCAATTAGCCAAATATGCTAGATAAAGGCTTTTAAACTTTGAAAATATCTTGGAACAATGTAATGTAACCTTTACTTAATAAAATGGACGACAAAAAAAAAAATCAAATCACAATCGAAATCCTTTATATTCATAATTACAAATACTAAAAGATAAAAACAAAAATAAAGATTTTGCATTTGCAAATTCTTATTTCATGGATCGAAGATCTGTACAACAGATACAACACATATTGACTTATTTATGGATCGGTCTTTGCAACGATAAACAATGTCGAAGATTGCAACACCATTTATCGAATCACATAAGAGAAACAGAATTTCGAAGTTTTATAAAAACCAGAACACGTATTTTGTGATTCTGAAAGTGTGTAATTCCACAACAAGTTTAACTACCTTAGTCCAATGTTTGTTTCATTTCTTAAATAATGTATCGAAGGCGGACCAAAAGCATGTGCATTGTCTCTATACAATCTTCGAATGAGATAATATGGTGATCTGAAATTATTTTGTTGTTGTTAAATGATTTAAAAAATAATATATAGTAATAAAAAAAAGAAAAACATCTTTATTTTGACTTAGGAATATTTTTCTAAATAGAATAATCCTTAAATTTGGATATTTCATTATAGGATAATTCTTAAATTTGGAAATTTCATTTCAACTAAAAAGTAGTAAAGGATTTTGATTGATTCTTCGATGGTTACTTCTTGTAATTAAAATCAATTTCTGATCATTATATGTATTCATCAGATGCGGGCATGACATAGCGTTCCAATTCATGAAACAAGTAATATGCATCGTATTCTACAAATGTATAGGTCTAGCTAGATTAAATAGAACAAATAATTATTTCTGGCTTTACTGCATGTTGGTTACAAAGAATAAAATAAAAAACAAACATATCTGTTCGTTAAATATGGCTCTCATGAGTAATTTTTTTTTTTTTGGATTATAGTCTTTCTTTCTCCAAAACCTCTCCTTCCAAACTCAGCGCCGCCAAACCCTAATTCTCTTCGATCTGTCTCCTCGGTGGCCGGCGCTCCTCGCTGCCGCCGGGGAGGCCTTTGTCCTCCTTTGTGTTTCGTATGCCTTGTGGATTGCGACGGTTTGGCTCCGGTGACCTTTAACAGAGGCGGATTCGAGGGAGAAGTGTGGCATCTCGACTTTCCCTCGGTGAGGTCTCTGGTGGAAGCTTCGGTGGCACATGATGTGGGATCTTCTGGATCTCGGTGTGGCCGCTGCGCGTCTTTCTTGGTGGAGTGGATTGACTAGATCTTGGCTGCGCGTGGTGTGAGGTCTCCGAGGACGGGTCTCAGCGTGTTGTTCTTCAGATCTGATTCTCTTCTCCATCGTCGGCGTGTTGGAGGTGTGGCATCTTCCTTCGTTGTCTCTTGGTTAGATCCCGTCGGTGGCATTTGCTCAAGGCGGTGGCTTTTTCTGGTTAATCTGAGCGTGCTTCTCTTGGTGGAAGCTTGTGAGACTCTCTGCGTCGTTTCTTTGTTCAGAGCTCTGTTTCGATGCGGTGTTGGCTCGGTTTTCTTCAAGTCTTTGCTTCCGGTGGCTCCTTGTATCATCGCTGATGGGTTTGCTTTGCCTGTTTCTCTCGGTTTGGTGTAAGTGTTTCCCTGGTGTTGTTTGATTGAGATTACTTGGAGTAATGTTTTGTGTCTTGTCTTTCTTACTTTCGGAGGAGCTAGTAAAGCTGATGAGTTTAGAGGTTGTTCGGTTCTGTGCTGCCGACATCGGGGAAGTATCTTGGCAGAGTGAGCGAGCGTTTCTGATTCTGATAGTTAGTGTAGTCCTGTCTTTATACCGGATCTTTGTTCGTTAGTTGAGCGTCGATCCGTAGATTGAGGGCTGTCTCTGTTCGGGCCTCCACCGACTTCTTAGAGGAAAGGTTTTTCTCAGGCTACCGGATGAAAGAGCTTCCGATTTGCGAGATATGCGTTTCCCAATCTTTTCTCCAGTGATTTTAAATCTGACCTTATCTTGGTCTCATCTTTCCTTCGGGTTTTCAGGCTCCTTATCGCTACTTGATTCCTGTTGCTCTTGAGCTTCGGTGTCGGAAAATACCGATTGAATTTGCTTTCATGTTTTTTATTCTTTTTTTGCCATGGGACCAAGAATTTTAGGTCGATCGATTGTTAACTCAATTTGTAACACTTAGAATATTTACAATTTAGAAAAAAAAATATGGCTCTCATTAAAAAATATATATCATTTCTTATACACCAAACCAACAACAGAGATTGGACTCGCTATGTATTCTTTTCCATCGGCAAAACTCTCTGTTAATTCAAGTATGAGTCATTACAAAATCTACGAAAGCAAATATTACATAGACAAATATACCCACTACATGCCGAAGCTATATATTTGAAACAAACAAGTGAATTGACGATGCTTGGTGTTGAAACAATACTCGTAAACAGATTAATAAATGAAATCTGTTATATTCATTGTTAATAACCGATCCTTTTATGCGAGTGTTGTGATTGGACTTGTTTTCTTCAAGGAAACTACTAGTAGCACATCACACGATAAAACTCATTGCTTTTTGACGATAGTTCTGAATTTTTGCCATCTGATACCAATCATTCCGTGGGGTGTGGAGGGTCATTTTAGAAAACTTTTGACTCTAACTTTCTTCCGACTTGATCCCAATTCCTAAATGAGCATTGAACCTTCCCGACTTCCCGTGGTTGACTGATGAGTTCATAACCAGAGTAAACCGACATTGATATGGTCCAAGATTGAATGGAAATATGGCATCGTGTGTTCTCCTATATTAATGGGATTGTTTCCCACTTAGTCACGTCTATTACTTGTTTAGTTGGCAGTTAATTTCTTTACATCTTCCTTGTATATTTAAGAGACTCTTGTCTTATGGAATGGGAGAAGAGAAAATTGCAGTAAATTTGTCCTAAAGTCTTTGGGAGCTATCATTGACTCTCTTTGTTAAAGATTTATTCCCTTATGAATACAAGAAATCACACAATTTTTTTTAGCGGGAACATGCACTGAGGCCTTTAATGGCCCATGGGCTTTCGAATTTAATCAAACTTGAAAGTTTGAAAAAGGAAAGCAAACCATATACAAGAAGAAGAAAAGTGGTTAAACCAACCCGCTTTGTTACCTCCGCCTCCGCCTGTATACACTGACATTGCCACTCTCTCTCTCCGTCTTTTCTCTTCGGATCTCTCTCTCTCACTTTCTCACAATGCAATCAGCTATTGCGATTCCGTTCTCCCAGACATCGCTTACCAGACCAAACACCGTGCTCGAATCAACCGGTTCCGTCTTTTCCACGCCGAGGAGTCTCCGGTTCTGCGGACTCCGTCGTGAGGCGTTTGGTTTCTCGACTTCGAATCAGTTTTCTTTCCGCAGTGAACGAATTCGAACTCCGATCAGGAGATTCGAGGTATCCGCTGCCGCTTCTTCCGCCGCGGGCAATGGTGCTCCGCCGAAATCTTTCGATTACGATCTGATCATCATCGGAGCTGGAGTTGGTGGCCACGGAGCTGCGTTGCACGCCGTTGAAAAGGTGTGTGTTTGCTCTAATTCTTATTAGTAAAAAACTAAAGGGCTCGTAGTATCTTGTGAAAATGCTAACATGATTTGTTAAAAATTTTGATTTCACCTTGATCCGAAAATCTGTCTCATTGTCCTGTTTTTTTTTCTACAAAGTAGCGTTCTTAGCATCCAAATTAGATTAGCGCTCTTACATTTGCACTACTTCTTATTTATTGATCCATTGGCGAACTTGTTCCCTTAGGGACTTAAAACTGCCATCATTGAAGGAGATGTTGTTGGAGGGACTTGCGTTAACAGAGGCTGTGTGCCTTCCAAAGCCCTTCTTGCTGTTAGTGGTAGAATGCGGGAACTTCAGAACGAACATCACATGAAGTCATTTGGTCTGCAGGTACTATCAAACTGACATCAAGATATATTGTAGATGATCAAGTTTGATGCCATTGAACCAAGTGGAGAAATTATAAATTCTGCTGGTAAACAGGTTGCAGCTGCTGGGTATAATCGACAGGGTGTAGCAGACCATGCTAATAACCTGGCTACCAAAATTCGAAACAATCTCACCAATTCAATGAAGGCACTTGGTGTTGACATATTGACTGGATTTGGCAGTGTTCTGGTCAGTACGTGGCTTTCTTTTTACGTGTGACTTAACTAGAAAGGATACATTTTTTTTGTTACCCGGCGATCTTAACTATTTGTTTTTCTTGTTTCTTGAAAAGGCCCCACAAAAGGTGAAATATGGGAAGGACAATATAATCACTGCAAAAGATATAATTATTGCCACCGGATCTGTGCCATTTGTTCCTAAAGGAATTGAAGTTGATGGTACATGTCTTGTTTTGAACAGTGGGGTTGTTAAGGGAGAAGCTTGAAAAGTTTCTCCGTTTTTTTTTTTGGTGCAAGAAGGTTTGAATCCTTGAATGTTTGTATTTTGGTGCTGCAGGAAAGACTGTAATCACCAGTGACCATGCCTTGAAATTGGAGTCTGTCCCTGATTGGATTGCAATTGTAGGAAGTGGTTATATTGGTCTTGAGTTCAGTGATGTTTACACAGCACTTGGAAGTGAGGTAACATGATGTTTCTGTACTAATTATTTTTCTCTAATATGACTTAGTGATGTTTGTCCCTGTAGTTGAGAATGTAATAACTGCAACTTGGCGGCGCTCTCCAATATCTAGTCTTTTGTTTGGTTTTTTACTGTATTGAGCTTATTGTTGTGCAATTACTAGTAAAAAACGGCTTTTAGGATACTAATTTATCGGATTCTGGATCTAAATTTAAATGTGCCATTTCCGTGTTCTGTTTATTTAGGTTGGCCCTACGTTGGAACAATTAGTTAGTGAGCAAAACCGGTATACCTTTTGTGCAGGTAACTTTTATCGAGGCACTGGATCAGCTAATGCCTGGATTTGATCCTGAGATCAGTAAGCTAGCTCAGAGGGTTTTGATAAATCCTAGAAAGATTGACTATCATACTGGAGTCTTTGCTAGCAAAGTGAGCCTATTAAATCACGCTTATTTTCCCTATTAAATCGTGCTTTCTAAATACAGGTTTTCTTTCTCTATGCAATGTGTTTACGTATTCATTTGTTAAATTTAAATATTTTCTTATACAGATTACTCCCGCGAAGGATGGGAAACCAGTTAGGATTGAGCTTATTGATGCCAAAACCAAGGAACCTAAGGATACTTTGGAGGTATCAAAATGTCATATGATAAATAGAGATGTCTCAGAAAGAGAATATAAATATTAATGCTTTTGGTGTCATCTCAATTTTACCATGTGATTTTCGGCGCTGAAAGTGTGAGCTTGTTTTCCTTCTCCAGGTAGATGCTGCTCTTATTGCTACTGGAAGAGCTCCATTCACCAATGGTCTTGGCTTGGAAAATGTATGAGATGACACAAAATCGCACCCCGCCCTTATTATGATACTATTGTCATTCGGTTACCTTCGAATATTTGGTCTTCAAAAAGATAACTTGATGTCATTTCAACACAGGTCAATGTTGTGACGCAGAGAGGTTTCATACCGGTTGATGAGCGAATGCGTGTAATTGATGGAAATGGGACTCTGGTCAGTTTTTGTTTTTTGTTTTTGCTTATACGTACCTTTTTCTTACCCGCGATTATTTCTATATGCTAAATTCATTTTTGCTTGTTAGGTTCCAAACTTGTACTGCATTGGTGATGCCAATGGTAAAATGATGCTTGCACACGCAGCCAGTGCCCAAGGAATTTCTGGTAAATGGGTTATCAATAGGCTAGTAATGCATATTTCTCTCTTTCTCTTCATGGTGTTTATTTTTTTAAAACTCTTTGGTCAGTGGTGGAGCAAGTCAGCGGTAGAGATCATGTGCTCAATCATCTTAGCATCCCAGCTGCTTGCTTTACTCATCCTGAAATCAGCATGGTGGGATTAACAGAGGTAATTCTAGATCTAGTGCACTTAGTCCTTTTATAGTGAAGAGGGTCAAAAAGAAAAAATGTTATGAGCAATATCCTTACTGTAACTCATCATGCTTTGACATAATTCCCGTGTCTGTCAGCCTCAAGCGAGAGAAAAAGGTGAGAAGGAAGGGTTTAAAGTTAGTGTTGTTAAGACAAGCTTCAAGGCTAACACAAAGGCCCTAGCTGAAAACGAAGGAGAAGGAATAGCTAAGGTGGGAGAAGCAAAACTTGTTGATTATTTATGGTTAATGAAAGAACAAAGAGATCTCATTGCCTTCATTATGCAGATGATATACCGACCTGACAATGGTGAAATCCTAGGAGTTCATATATTTGGACTGCATGCAGCTGACCTTATCCATGAAGCATCCAATGCGATTGCTCTAGGAACACGAATTCAGGTTTGATTTTCGATACACTAGCTGCCTCTTTCCCTGATTTCTATTGGATTTAGATCTTAGTTTTTGATATTGATGATCCTCGACAAGGAAATTTAACCGAATACTTAGTACCATAGCTTCTAAATTACTCAACGCATTGTTTATATTCATTGTGAAACCAGTTCTTGATCCCTGTATGCTTACTGGTATCTCTGCAGGACATAAAGTTGGCGGTTCATGCGCATCCAACACTGTCTGAGGTTCTCGACGAACTGTTCAAAGCAGCCAAGGTAAAGCAAAAAATTCTAACAACTCTCTCCAAAATACACACACACTCATGCAATTGATCGGAGACACCTTTTATCACATGGTTAACTGAAATCATATGGATTCAAATCCTGAACTAAAAAGCAAAGAACATTTTTTCACTCAATTTCCAGGTGGAAAGTCACGTAACTACAAGGACAGTAAGTGAAAAAGTGGCTGTATAAAAGAAACAAAAAACTTATTGGGAGGGGCATCTGTAATCATAAAAAAAAAGTATTTGTTGAAGAAAGAAAATTTGTGGTTGTACTTTAGGAAGATTTCAAGATAAAGGTAAACACGAATGAGGATGATCGAGGAAGACCAAGTAGAAGAAGAGGTGATGAGAAACAACCGGCAAATAAAGACTTAATAGTTAAATCTACAAGGCCTACTTCTTTCATTGAGAATATTTATGGTCGTGTCTTGTCTCTGGTTTCACGTATGTTTGTTTGATTGTTTTGAATAGGGGAGATAGTGCTTTTGATTTTCGTTTGTTTGTTTGTTTCTGTGGATGCTATTGTTTATTGTGGATACTTCAATTCAAGTGAAAAAAATGTAATAAAGGATTTTGGAAGATTCTTCTATGGTTACTATTTATGTTTTTCAAATTAAAAGATGCAGACTCAACATGGCTTTCCAAATTATGAATGATGCAGCAATTTGTTTTCTACAAATGTACAATGGACTTGGACTATAGGTCCCAGAGTAACCCAATTATTATACATCAATCATGATGCAATTTCCTTTTATAAAGAAGTTTTTATTCAACCATGTATTTTTCAAAAGACTAAAGGTGCATTAAATATGTTACGGACTTCAGAAATTAGAAAAAGCACATGTTAACTCATGAATAAACGGAATTTCCTTTTCTATATCAGCTTTATTTTGACCATAATTTTCAAAAGGTAAAACTGCATTAAATATGTTACCGAGTCCACAAAAAAACTGAATTAAAAAGCATATGTTACGGAAAGTAAACTAATGAAAAAAATGTAATTATATATACACAGTTAGACATTAAGTAAAAGAATCATCCACATACAATACACTTTCATATTGCAACAAAAACAAAAACAAAAAAAAAACAGATAAAAAAATGGGTTGTGTAGTAGAACTAATTGTTCTATTAATCATGACTATGTGTGTAAGTGTAAGAATGTCTGGCGCTGAGAATGAAATCGCTCCATCAGGTTTCGATAACCCAAAAACAACAGTGGTGATTGATAATGATCTTGGAGGTTCTCTGCCACTGCGATATCATTGTAAATCAAAAGACGATGATCTTGGAGACCGGACTATGGCACCAGGTGGATCTTGGTTCTTTAGATTTAGACCGAGCGTTTTTGGAAATACTAAATTCTCATGCAGTTTTGCATGGGGAAATGAGTTGCATTATTTCGACATCTATCGACAGAATAGAGACAGAGAATTTGCCGAGTTTGGATGCGTAAGATGCGAGTGGAAGATACGTAAAAACGGTCCTTGCAAATTTAACAAAGACACCAAAATGTTTGATGTTTGTCTTCCTTGGAAGTCTTAAAACAATTAACTTATTCTCTATGTCTGTCCACCTATGTTTTTCTAATAACAAATAAAAACAATAAGTATTTCATGTTTAGATAAAACAAATAATAGAGCCTCTCATATTAGCTTATTGGCAATATACCCATTATTAGGTTATTTGGCTTTGGCTTCAAACACACGTTATACATTTATGGACGCACATTCAGAAACTTGCATTTGCAATTTAACTGTTATGTTCGTGATTCGATAAAAACACATTTTTCATTGTTCTACTCATTTTCAAAAATTGCAAAAAAAAAAAAAAACACACAAAAACTCAAAAACATGTGTCCAGGTGTTAGCCGTACATAGATGTAGCGTATTTTCACCTTGGCTTGTCTCTCAAGGGAAACACTTACTGGTTTGTCCAACAGAAGATTCCAAAAGCTGTACCTGGAAGAAGAAAGAGATCAGCTATATCAGATCTCCCTGATTTCTTACTCTGTTTTGATTTTACAACGGAGAGATTTGTACCGTGTCTGCCTCTGCCTTTCCACGCGCTTTCTATGGAGATACAGTGACTCTTTCTAGTGTTAGAGAAGAGCAGCTTGCCGTGTTATTTCAGAAGGGTGGCTCACCTGCATATACCGTCAAGATATGGATTAGTAGCAAGATTGAGCCCAATGCAGTGTCTTGGAACAAATTGTTCTTAGCGGTTGATATGAAACCACTACTCACCCGTGTTTGTTTTCAGTTTCTGATTCATGGTGGGAGTTTCTTCGTTTACGAGGAGAAGGAGGTCGCGGTGGTTCTTGATAAAGACAGAGGTTACTCTTGCCCAACTCGCAACATTGCTTACATCATTGGAAAGAATGAATACTTCAAACAAGTGGATCTTGGCGAATCTAAGTAAGCTGGCCACTTGTGTGTTCTTATGTTCCAAGCTCAGTGCAAATCTAAGTAAGCTGCACCAACGAGGCAAACAGAAGAACATCACCCTTTGTGTGATCTATTAATTTTTGTATTGCCGTCGCGACAATTGTTTGTTTCTCAAGAAGGCCTCTGCTTTCTTTACTTTGTTCATCCTTAATATTCAGAGCCTATTAGGAAGATTGCGACCCAGGCTGCGATATTCCACTTATGGAAGCAAAAGAATAACGTGTTGCATAACCAGTCATCGCTTCCTGCCTCCTCGATTTTCAAAGGAATTGATTGTGAGATCAGGAACATTATCTCCGCAAGAAGACACAGAAGACCTTTCAAAGACTTAATGTGTTTATGGATTGAATGAGTATAGGTCCCTTATAAGCTTCTTATAAGTTCAAAATGTGTTGCTCCCTTGATTTTTATTCTTTTTTGCCAAGGTAGCACAGAACCTAGGTTTGCTTTTTTTAAATTCTAACTTTCGTTTTAATGATATTTACAGTTTAGCAAAAAAAAATATTCAGAGCCTAATTACTTTACGCGCAAAACTTCATTGTTATTAAAATGTTATAGAGTTATATTTTGCGTTTTTAGATTGGATTTTTGTCATCAAATTATGATGATATTTTTGTGTTTAATATTAGCAGAAAATGAACAATAGACCTGGCCCCAAACAAAAGAAAAATCAATGTATATGTATAGAACAAATAAGATTTTAGGTTGTTTTAATGTAACTTTTATCTTTACATCTCATATTAAAAACAAAAAAAAAGCTTTTCCATATTCTCTTAGTACATAAAATGTAACGTTAAAAGAACTTTTACTTTGTAAACAAAAAGTAGAAGTGCACTTATGTATAACAATTAGAAGTGTGCATTAAAATTTCACATTTCTTATTAAAATAAAATTTTATTATTGTTTAATTTACTTAATTTCTTGAATTTATATACCCTATAAAAATATAAATAAAGTAACAATAAATATAAATAGATTTGAATTAAATGAACATTATAATTAGACTTTAATGTTAATTTGTTATATTTTGCTTAGGTGGACACTATGAGAGAAAACTCTCTAATTATATAATAAATTTAACAAGTTTTGATTGAAAGAGTCATCCACATACGATAGTATCATATTGCAAAGAAAGAAAGAAAATGGGATGTTTAAGAGAACTCATAGCTATCTTACTGATGGCTATGTTCATAAACGCAGCAATGTCTCGCAACCAAAACGACGTTACTCCATCTGGCTTTGACAATCCAAAAACGACTGTGACGATTTATAATGATCTTGGAAGTGATTTGCCGTTACAATATCATTGTAAATCAAATGATGATGATCTTGGAGATCGGGTTTTGGCATCAGGTGGATCATGGTCGTTTCAATTTAAACCTAGTGTTTTTGGAAATACATTTTTTTCTTGCAGTTTTAGTTGGGAAAATCAGCTGCATTATTTCGATATCTACAAATATAAGAGAGACAGAATATTTGCGAAATTTGGATGCAGAAAATGTGGATGGAAGATACGCAAGAACGGGCCTTGTAAATTAAATAAAAACACTAAAATGTTTGATGTTTGTCATTCTTGGAAATCTTGAATATATCTCTATGTCGACCTCCTTTTATCTAATAACATCATTGACAAATAAAGTGCACATGACTTAAGCCCCAAACCCACTTGAAGGGATCTTTCCCAGTGCGTGAACTTTTCTTGCGTAACCGATTTAAATGTAAGTTGAGCCTCTTCTGCCTTTACTTCATACACATACATGCACACACGTTTAGAGAGATAATTATGGATTTGTTATATAAGAGAAGAAGAGATTAATTATGTATATGTATGTACATCCTACATGATTTAGAGCCTCGTTATCTTATTCGCAAAATTTCAGTGGCACTAAAATGTTAATGTTCTTGCTCTTTTTGTTGTAAATTACCCAAAAAGCAAATAGAAATTCTAATAAACCTTAAACAAACCAAAGCCTAATAAAAGTAAAATCCATGTTTAACTAGATTAGTATAAGGTTTTTTTTTTTTTTTTTGTCTTAAACACAGTGTATGGAAGACGGACCAAAATCATCTGCATTGTCTATAGTTATAATCTTCGAATGAATGTGATAGTTAGTAAACTTTCTTAAGCCCCATACTTTTTAACTACGAATATACGTCTAACGGATGAATATTTTTGTTAGTAAACTTGGTCATCGAAGCATATCCTAACGATTTTTTTAAGGCCTATTAAAGTTGTAAAATAGGCTTTGGATATACTTATTTCCATTCCAGATTCGATCCTTGTTTGTAACGTAACGAGTCTAGAACACGCAGAGATTTGTTCAACAGAAGATTCCAAAACTGTACCAGGAAGAAGAAAGAGATCAGCCATATCAGATCTCCCTGATTTCTTACTCTGTTTTGATTTTACAAGGGAGAGATTTGTTCCCTAAACCCTGATCTATTAACTTTTGTATTGTCGTTTATCTACTGGTATCTTTTCTTTTCTTAGATTATTAATTTGTATCTATGGACAGTTGATTTCTCAACTTGGCCTCGTCATTCCTTACTTTGTTCATTTATATTTTTCCCCAAAGGACAGCGGATCAAATTACTCTTTTTGAGATCTCAATTGGCTCTTCCAACATTTCTCTGAAACAGCCATATTGCATATTTGATTGCCTTTGCCTGATCATGTCTAGAATTTGTTCCTCCTTGGAATCTTTCTCAGCATTGCAAATTAGCTGAAGAAAAGGGTATATTCTGCTCTCCGGACTCTTATTTAATTTTGAGTGATCTGATTTGTCTTCTAGAATTGCATCTGTGTCCAGAGGTTGTGCCCTGAACTCTATTGTCGGCCACATACTTCTTCCAACAAAGAGATATTAACAACAAAGAGAGTCTTAGTTTAGATCACTAAGAAATAAACAAAAAAAGTTTAAAACTTGAAAGAAGTTGCATACTCTGCTCGGGGTGTATATATCATTCTCTCGTAAGTTGTATTTAAACCTGATATAGCACTATGCGAGAAATTTGATACCGCATGGGATATTTTTCTCGCGTGTCACCTCTCCATCCTCCATCCTCAAAGGGTTCCCATGCGATAGAAACAAACCTTCCTCATAAGGTCAATGGATCTAGAGAGACATTTGGGTTAAGTAGCAGTCGAAAGATGTCGTTGACATCCTCGCTTCCCAGCCAGTCGAATCTGGATCTTTGTAATGCATCTAGTTCTGCCACAAATTAGTTGTTAGGCTAGTATCATTCTTGTTAGGCTAGTATAATGGAAATTAATTCAGAAGAGAAAGATTGTACCTGGATATAATTCAGAATCATCTTGAAGGTTGTACGCCATGGTTGAAGACCAACGTTCTAAAAGAAGATGACTCAACAATTTGAAGAAAAAAAAAAAAAATTCTCAAATAAGAGAGAATTCTGAAGATTACTTCAAACAGAGTATTAGTTTGGAGATGATGGTTGTACGAAGATTGTACTCTCTCTATTTGACGTGACGTTCTGAAATATGAGAGATAGATCAACTTATTTTGAAGAATGAAGGTTGTCATGAGTAGACCACACATGTTGACAGAAAATATTAGTAAAAAAAATCAGAACGTCACATCAAATAGAGAGTACAATCTTATACAATCTTCGTACAAATTGCTAAATCCTAAACTCCAAACTCTAAACTTTAGATAACAAAAAAAAAAAAACTCTAAACTCTAAATTTTTGGTGAGGAGATGCGAAGATAAAGCTAAACATGAACCAGGACGGTCAAGGAAGACCAAGAGATGATGAGGAACAACCTTAGTAAGTCAAGACTTAATAGCTAGATCTAGAGCGCCTTCTTCTTTTTGAGAATTTTTGTATTTGAGTCTTGTCTCTGGTTTCACGTATATTTATTTAATTGTTTCATGGTTTTGCTTTTTTACTTTGAATATTTTTATTTAAAGTGAAATAAAAGGATTATGAAAGACTCTTGGAAGGTTACTAGTAAGAATCACCTTTCTGGCTAATATGTTTATCAGATGCAGACATGACATGGCTTCCCATTTAGGAATTATTATACAAATACAATCAACAATTGTACTCTACAAAATGTACAAGTCTACAGTAGACTATTTATGTTTGTTGTCTCGTTCTGTCTCTCATTTCTCATAAACCAGTATCAGAAAACGTCGAAAGTACCCTTTTTCCATTGACATAATTTACAGATCAACACCATCCATATTCCACACATATTTCTCTTGGATTTACCTCTCCATAGCCATTTTTGATCAGATATCTTGCAGGCACTCGTACTCCAACTTGCATCACACCATCAACAAGACTCTCCGTTAATTCAAATACCAATTTACCTCTCCATTTTTTGTTTTCCTTCTAAATTGAAAGATTTGAAAATGAAAAACGCAAAACATAAATTCACCTGAGTTTCTTCATGAGTGAGTTTCATCCTCCTGTAATCCTGTTGAGCCTTCTTAGACCTGAACATGGCTTGGACCCGAACTACAGATCTCTCGAGCCTCTCCTCTGCTTGTCTCTGGCTCGTCTTGTAGAAATCTTCCTCTTCTTCACCTTGAAGACCCTCCTCTGCTTCAGCTTGGCTCACTTGGAGTCCTCTAAACCCTTTTCTCTTTTGTCTCCACCTGATAATTGCCTTCTCCAACACTCCTACCGACCATACAATCTTCTTGTACTGCCTCCTTGCTTGTAATCCCCTGAAAGCAGCCTGCCAAAAGACGAGGAAAAAAACCATTTTTTATTTTGTTATTGTTTTGCATTGACTGACACTAATATGTTGCAAAATTCAGACAAAAGTTATGAACTCAAGTCTTATTCTCAATGCACACCTGGATCCTAATTGCTTGACGCCGCATATTCAGGAACTCTCTTCGCATTTTCCAAGTTTGGAACCTGCACTGAATCCGGTAAGCAGCTTCTATCTTCCTACGCGTATCGTATTTGCGGAATGCATTCTGAATCTTCATTGCCGCAAGTATGCCTTTAGCCTCTTCTTCCCTGTTGGCAAACTGGATCACGCTTGACCGTGCCGCCTTCAACGCCTTTTCCCTAAACGCTCCCTGAATCCGAGCCGCTGCTTCCGCGGCTGTTCTGTATGCCGCCAAAGCGTCCTTAAGATTCTGGTCATCATCTGAGAGAGCGCTTCGGTTTGACATCTCCCCCTTGAAAGCCTCAAGGTTCCCACTAATGTTTCCAGCAATTTTCATGTCTATAAACTGAGCTACCAAACCTTTCTCAGCAAGATAAGCAGCTAAACCATCGAATCCGTTTTGCTGTGCCAGATCAGCCGCCGTGCATCCGCCAAGATTATCCTTTCTCGAGTCTGTCACTAAGTTCGGTTTCGCCCCAGCAGTGAGAAGAGCAGCCACCATTTTCTCTCTTCAAAACCCAAAAAAGAAAGTATGGAAATCAGAAACAAGTAACTACTAACACAAGGAGATAAAGTTTTTACCTTCCGTAGTATGCTGCCCAATGAAGAGCAGTCCATCCTTGCTTATCACGGAAATCTAACGATAAACCTGACAAGGAGAACAGCTGGACCGACCAAGTATATCCAAGAATGGCACAGAGGTGGATCACACCGAGGCCTTTAGAGTCATAATCGAGTGTGTTGCAACCTTCGAGCACTTTCTCCATAAGCCATTCCTTAATCCTGTTCTTTAGAGTAAGCTCAAAGATATGATCTTTCGCTTGACCAAGAGACACCTTATTCCCCTGAATAGACTTGATTAGATAAGCCCAGCTGTTTAAGAGGTGAGAAGTTTTGCTGGCGAGTTTTTTAGCATCAACAAGGTTTGCAGGTGAGATTTTGCTCGAGAGAACGTTGAGTTTGTTGGAAGACGTAAACAGGAGATGAGCAAGCCTGACTTGGAGCTCAAATTCTTCCCATTTGGATTCTTGATCGTCTTCAGGGACGGTCTTACCAGGAAGTGGAACTGAACGGTGTTCGAAGGTGAAACACTGGCTGATTGGCTTGTGTCCGTCTGCACTAAGATAGAGGTTCGCCATCCCAGGCGAGTGCGGAGGTATAAAGCAACGGTAGACTCCTGCCTGGACATATTCCGCAGGGACACAGGAGTCGCCACAAACGCAGAAAAGGTTTGAACTTCCGAGGTGTTGATAACTGTCGTGTAAGAACCCAGTTACCAAAACCTGCAGAATCAATATGTAACCAAAGTAAGGAGTTTCATTTTGCAATTCATAACCCTTATTCTATTCATATGATTCATTCTAGTTAAACCGCTATACCTTTGTTTTCTCTGACGAATAGGCCCAAGCAGGTGCAACCTCGGTTATCTTGAAAACCTGCTCAGGTATGTTGGAGTGAGGATGAAATGCAGCTTGGGGAGCTAATGGACCCTGCTCAAGTGTAACCATGGCTTCAAAGGAAGGATCCTCCAGCGAACCATTAGAGTCGCCGACGAAGGAATTCATCCACCTTCCAAAACTCTCTCGGCTTTGTGGACCATTGTTAAGCAAAGCATCAAGAGATTCATCAGCCACTGTCACATTCACATGCTCTGCAGAGCCATTTGCAGCACTTTGGAGCTGTTCTGTGAAGTACGACAAATCATCTGACCACACAAATAAAATTTGAACATTATTCAATAGCTCTTTAACTTCACAAACTGATATTTGAATTGTAGAGATTGTAGTTTCAACATTATCCCATAGCTCTTTAACTTCACAAACTGATATTTGGATAACTTTAAAGGATGTGATCAATTCCTATATAAATTACCTAAGATTGGTGCAGGTTGGTTGTTAACATCAGTTTGTACTAGCAGCTCATCCCAATCAAGCGTATTAATATCATGAAGCCTGATCTCATGATTTCTAACAACTGGACTGTTGTTGCTTACTGTGACCCACCAAGAGAAAGGACGATAAGTATCGGAAGGAAGAACTAAGAGTAAGCTTTCTAAAATTTGCAAACAGCAAATCCATAGTGCTATAATGATAATGTAAATGGTAAGTAGAAAACTGTAAAAGACCAAGATTATTTCTCACCTAGATAACGTGCGTTATCAACGCTAAAATCAATATCTTCAGCTGCCACAAGATTTGGGGATGAATGATCAGTGATAGAGATTGGAGAGTTTGAGTCCCCTGATGTCGTAGCTGCCTGAAAATATCAGTCTTACCCATCAAAATTTCTCGGAGGGCTGAAAATAAGCCTACCAGTCGATGACTGTGACTATATAATTTAAAAAGAGAGCATCCAAACATGGATAGCAAGGAAATACATCACCCTGATTAAGCCATATCTTTCTAACATAAGAAAAACCAGTAAGAGTTGAGGACAGGTAGTTAAAAAACAAACCTCCTGCGTGTCACGGTAATGTACAAGGACGATGTTCTCTCGAGCCCTGACATATAAAAGAAGAGATGATCTAACTTTCATAACCTTCAGAAGAAACATAGAAGAAAAAGCACATATAGTAGACAAGTCAGTGATCTTTGCTTACTACATACTTATCTAGTAACCAATAACACCTTCGAACAAAGGTAGTGTTATCTTCACCGTGCGCATAGTATACATGAATCCGTTCCTCGTTACCAACCTAGCATCAAAATCAAAGGACATTAATCATTTGTAAAAGAGATAAGTCAATGATAAGAGCTTTTAAGATTAAGCTAGGAAAACCTTACTTTCAGGTGTTCGTGAGCTTCTTTAACAGTCCTTCCATCTTTTTTCTTTTTCCAATTATGACCATCCTTTCTAAAGTTCCTCAACATCTTACGATCAAACAATATAATTCTGCCACCTACAAAATACGGCAGATAACATCGGTGTAAGAAGTCATAGAAAACTAAAGAAACATCCTAATTAAAATGCTGAGTGGTTAGTATTCGGTGGAGCAGAGTGATTACTATTCGGTAAATTCACTGGCTTGACATTGATGGTGAAGTATTTAGGGTTAGAGAGGACTGCGTGGATCTCGTTTGGCCGGAGCCACCTTCTTTTTACTTCCTCCAACATTGTCTGGACATCAAGATCTGCAAAACACAACCAGAATATGTGTCAAGAAACTTCAAGCAATGTATATAAGAAAGTCATTCATGTAGAAAAGCAAAGGCAACACAAATATATATATAAAAGGGTTCCAAGCAAACACAATGAAACTGATTCCAGATATAAACAAGGATCTTGCTTATGAGAATGGTGCAGCCTTAAAGCTTCCATCTTTTCCGAGAAAATTTGTCCTTACAGACATAAGTAAACTTGTTATAGGGATAACACATAAAATCATCACTTCCCTCTAGAACCTCTCAATCTATCATGTAAAGGGCTCATCCACAATTCAAAACACTGAATTCGACAGATGCCAAAATTCGTTTTTAAGTATCTCAAAAAATTTTGAAGACATGAGGAACCTCAATTTCACACAAACTGCAATTTCCACTTCAACGGCTGCAAAGCAACAAAACTGCCACGTCATCTATACAATACAAAATGTAATAAACTCTAAACCCAATATAATTTATTTTAAAAAAATACAAATTCAATGTTACCCTTGACTACTTCAACAACATACTGAAAGATACATTCGAACCAACAATCGTCATGCGATTGACGAATCAAAGAAAGAGCTCCAGAAATCAAGAGGTGGGTCGGTACCTTGCAAGGTATGGAAACCATGAATCTCGGAGCCGATAAGTCGGCCGGAGCCGTCACCGTCCATACTCACTTTTAACCGGAACAGAGAAAGCAAATACCGACGAAGAAGCCTAAGAGAGTGAAGTACAAGTCAAAAAGTAGAGATTTTTTTATTATCTGGGCATAGATTTCGTCGGGAGAGACCGAAGAAATTGAGAACACCAGAGAGCTTCGCTGGTCCCCGGAATTATTATGCGAGTTTAAAAAAAAAAAAACGGAATGTTCCGCGAACGTTTAAGGGATTTTTTTTTTGTTTATACAAAGTTGAAATATTTTATGAATTTGCAGTTTGGACCCCAACTACTTTTTTTTGTAACTCCCTTTGGCCTTTATAGGGATTTGGGTCGGGTTTTACCCGATTAGGTTTGGATCAGATATCTATTTTATTTATAGTTGATGCTTTTTTAATCTAATTCACACAATTTTTAGCAGAGCTAAGGTGGAAATATAATAGATATTTGAACGACATATTTTATGGAATTAAACGGAAACATTCAAGGAATGAGCAGAGTTAACGACATGTTATCATGCATTACTTGTATTTTGGTGCGATTCTATATTTATCTTTTTTTGTTGATATGTGTAACTATGTAACAAAATTGGAAACTCAATGAAACTTGCTGGATCAAATCTTTAAAATATAAAGTATGTAACGCCAAAATGTGAACAGGTGGAAAAGTGAATAAATAAAAGGCGAAATTAAAGAGCGTCCAGACCAAAGCTTTAACATTGATCATTCACTATCCGCGGCGGGCGGGCGTACGAACAGAAATGGACAGGAGATACGTGTCTTAATAACAATGGTTCATCATTTAATCGTGGGTCCTAACACCCCTTTATTACATCCCTTTATTAATAATATTTGACCATTACGCGATAACCTCAGATTCTCAGGAGACTAAAGAGGAGAAGAAGTCAACTAATGAAAAGACCGGTCTCCTAAACCGGTCGGACCAGCTTAATAATACGCGAAACAACCACCAATCAAAACCCAATTCTAATCTATCACGCAAACTACATTAATTTACTAAGTTCGACACGTATGGATTATCATGGTTTTATCACTTTTTGTTCGTTAGTAATCCTTTGCTACATGGATTAATATTAATGATATTATCTTTAAATCTTTATTAAGTTGATGAAGTTACTGCAACAATTTTTTTGTTTTTGATTGATATGATATTATCTTCAAATCTCGTTCTTTTTTTTTCCTATTGCTTCTAACAAAGTATTAGATTTGAACCAAACTTGGAACATAACTGAACATAATTGGGCAAGGTGATGTTATTGAAGATTCTCCGAAATCTTCTTCTTCTCTTAATTCATCCTCTCCAACAATGTATACCATGTTGGTTAATTTGCCCTTCTTCATTTTTACAACACAAAACATAGCGACTTTCTGTTCCTCTTCAATTATAAAATTCATATGACTCGGAAACGTTTGTGTACCTTGTAGTTTCATCATATCCACTGTGAAGAACTTACTCCACGATACAGAGTCTGGTTTAATCTCATCTGTCACCCATATTTCTATCTGAAATGGATGAAACATCATGTATAACAGTGATAGCTTTTCTTCTCTGATAGAAGATAGTTGCACCTTTCCATAATCATTTCGTACTGGTATACACAAACATGCAAACCTCTCACTTGTATAGTTAAAACTTATTAAAGCTTGGTCGTTGAATTGTGGTTCTTTTTTCTTACCAAACCAATAAGTATTTTCTTTCAAAGCCACGCCACAAGAACGTATATACCAATCAGGAGTAACATCAAGAACCCTCCATGAGTTAGAGTTAACCTCATAAATTTCCATCTTAAATATGTGTTGACAAAACAAAACCCTCAAGATTTTGTAACTAGGGGAAGATGTATTGGTTTCGTATCCCAAAACATACTTATCATACAACATGCCAAACTTATCACATAAATTTTCACACTTGTGATAGTCTTCATCTCTTGGTTCGATCCATTTGGTTTGCCCCGTACATGGGTTCCAAATGACAAGTTTAGTCTTATCCTTTGTGGTGCATAACAATAAACCGTTGCAATGATATATATTAGAAATATCAACTTCTGATTTATAAAAGGGGTCGATTAGATTGAGTTCACCTGAAACCTTTATAAATTGATCGATATAATTGTTACGAATTCCATGGAGATTGACGACCACGGAATACACCCTATAATTTTTCAATATGATAACCATATTTTGCGTTAATGCTTTACTAAAATGTTTTTGAGTGAATTTTTATCATCGAGTAAAGCATTCCATTCTTTACAAGTAGATCGTAGACGTCTCAAAGCTGCTGCCGGAACCCTAGAAAGTATTTCTTCTACCAAATCCTTTGGAAGATTAGACATCATCATTGTTTATTCTTTCTCTAGTTTGATATTCCAAAGAAACAATATTTTCAGGACTGCTGTTTGTGATTAGGCTTTTATATTCACGTTGGCTCAATCTTCTATAGACAAAGTTGTTGAAATACATTGCACCCAATCTAATCATCAAGAAAAGTATCTTATATTATTAAAAAAAAGTTAGATATGACTCACAATGGTGTAAATTAAAACATTGATCGTTTCCTATTTTGTATAAAAAAGTTAGATATGACTTATAATGGTGTAAAAACATTGATCGTTTCCTATTTGTATAAAATATAAAAATCTACTTTATTTGTATAAAATATAAAAATATACTTTATTTGTATAAAATATAAAAATCTACTTTGAAATAACTATTAAAATATAAAAATCTATTTTGAACTAACTATTAATATGATAATCTCAAAATAGGAGAAGTCAACTAATGAAAAGACCGGTTTCCTAAACCGGTTGGACACCAAAAGTTTTTTTCTTTTTTCTCTTGCTGTGATTAAAAAAAAAAAAGCGAAACAATCACCAATCATAAATTCTAATTAAGCTTGACACGTATGGATGGTGGCTTTTTAAACTTTTTTAGTAATCGTTTTGGATTAATATCAATATCTTTAAAACTTACTAATGGACGTTTGTGACTCAATTCTCACTGTTAAAATCTCTTGTTTAGACGTTTTTTGGCATTTTAACAGATCTAAAGCCAACTAGAAATCGCTAGCTAGCGTAGGATAAAAAAGCTAGAATCGTTTGCAACAAATTATAATCCAAATTATATACACGATAACATGGTAGAGAAAGGAAGAAAAAAACATCTTGATTATCCAAAAAAACAAAGAAAGGAAAGAACAAAGTGAGGTGCACAAATTACATTATCCTTGTTTTGATTAGCTTGAATCTTGTTTTTCTTTCTTTTGCATCCAATAAAGTATTAAATTTGAACCAAACTTGGCACATAGGTGAACATAAATGGCCTAGGTGATGATGAAGATTCTCCGAGATCTTCTTCTGTGTATTCATCCTCTCCAACAATGTATACACTGTTGTTGCAATTTCCCTCCCTTAAGTATTTAGCGCAATACAACACAACAACTTTCTTCTCCACATCGATCAAAAAACTCACAAGGCTCCAAAGGTCATATGTAGTTTGAAATTTATTCACATCCACCGTCAAGAACTTACTCCACGACACAAAGTTTGGTTTGATCTCATTTGTCACCCATACCTCTATCTGAAATGGATCAAGTCTCTGATATAACACTGAAAGTTGTTCTTCTCTAACGACAGATAGATGGACAGTTTTATAATCATTTCGACTTGGTAGACATAAACATGCAAATCTCTCTGTTGTAAAATTAAAACTTATTAACACGAAATGTGGACCTTTGTTTCTGCCAAGCCAGTAAGTATTTCCTTTCAAAGGCATGCCACGAGAGTATAAAGACCAATCAGGAGCAAAATCAAGAATCCTCCAAGAATTCGAGCTAAACTCATAGATTTCCAACTGAAATATGTGGCCACAAAAAACCCTCACGATTTTGTATTTTCGGGGAGATGTATTGTTTTCGTATCCGAAAACGTACTTATGATACATTACATCATACCGATGATAATATTCATTTCTTGGGTTGATCCACTTGGTTTGTCCCGTACACGGATTCCAAACGACTAGTCTAGTTTTATTCTTTGTGGTGCATAACAATAAGCCGTCACATTGAAATATATTAGAAATATCAACTTCTGAGTCATTACGGGAATCAATTATACTAAGTTTACCTGAAACCATCATAGATGGATCAGCAAAGTTGTTGCAAATTCCATGGAGATTGATGGCCATTGAATAAATCCTAAACTCCTTCAACACGACAACTATATTCTGCTTTGATGCTTTACTAAAATGTTTTTGGAAAGAATTTTTGATCACTAAATAAAGAGTTCCATCGTTTGCAAATAAATCGTAGTCTTTTCAAAGTCGCAGCGGGAATAAAAGAAAGTATCTCTTCTACCAAATCTTCTGAAAGATCGGGCATCATAGTTATTTTTATTTATTTTTTTTGCAATCTATTTTGATTTTATCTTCCAAGAAGGAAATTTGTCAGGATTGGTTATAAAAATTAGGCTTTAACTTTCACGTTTGCACACTCTTATAAAAACAAGTTAAGTTAAGTTACATTGCACCAAACCAAGTCATGAACTATACAAAAAAAGAAAGAATAAGATAAAGAAGAAAAATATCTTGTATTTTAACAAAAAAGAAAAGAAAAGTATCTTGTATTATTAAAGAGATGGATAACTGTGACATGTGTTAACAATTAGTGAATCTTGTTTATATGTATATATATATATTTAAATTTCTATAATTTTGCATATACTATCTAATTTAAATTAAATTATGTTATACCTTTTCTTAAGTATAGTTATTTAAAGTCAAATATTCCAGCTAATGGCTTGACAAAAAAAATCCAGCTAAAACAGATAACTAAAGTCAAATATTATTAATCTTATTGAAATTATTATTGATTTTGGATCAAAATTGATTTTGAGTTTGTGATAGAAATATCCTAAATTAGACCAAACCCAAAATTAATTCCAAATTCTACAGTTTTCTAGAAATCCAGCTAATATTCTTCTTCATACTTAAAGATTGTTTTAGTTTCTTTAGGGGTTTTGGATATTAATTACGGTTTTGAGATATTGCTAAGCCCTGTCGGTGGTTTCTTTACAAATCTTTCACAACCCAAAATGCTCTCTCATTTTCTCTTTTAGCTCGCGGTTTTAGTCTCACAATCCATTTAAAATCTTTCACAACAAGATTGAGTGCAGCCTATTAAAAATGTGTTGGTTTTCGCTTGGTCATCAATGTAAAAACAAAAAAATAATGTCGAAACATCAATGCAAATTATAGGGAAATGTATACAAGATAACATGGCAGAGAAACAAAAAACATCATTTCGATGATTTATCCAAGAACACAAAGAAAGGAAACAAAAAAAAAACAACGGAGATGCAATATAACTCTATATGCAATGGCTAACATGATAATTATGCTGCTATGAGCGTCAAACTTTCTAGTGCCAAAAAAAAAAAAAAAAAAAATTCATACGTGTTCATGCTCCGACCAACCTTCTCAACAATGTAACTTCCACTCTAAGAAACTTCAAAAGAAAGCAAAAAAGCCCCACTAAAAGCAACTCTTCTCCTTCCACCAAATTCCTGAAAACCTAGTTCCTCCTTAAACGAACACGACACTACTCTATACCATTTGTGTTTGTATATATATTATCATACAAAAAATGATCTCACTGATAGAAGAATAATAAGCCGAAATATATTGATCAACCATGGTTTCAAAACCACTACTCTTCTTGCTGCTTCTTGCGTTGGCATTGGTCGTGTTTCAGACCAAGTCTCTAGCAAACGCTGAAGATTCCGAGTCTTCAAGCTCAGCGAAAAAGCCTCTGGTGAAGATCGTGAAGGGGAAAAAGCTATGCGACAAAGGATGGGAATGTAAAGGATGGTCCGAGTATTGTTGTAACCATACAATCTCCGATTTTTTCGAGACTTACCAATTCGAGAATCTATTCTCTAAACGTAACAGTCCTGTGGCTCACGCCGTCGGTTTTTGGGATTACCGATCCTTCATAACCGCCGCCGCAGAGTATCAGCCTCTTGGGTTCGGTACCGCCGGAGAAAAACTTCAAGGAATGAAGGAAGTCGCTGCGTTTCTCGGCCACGTTGGAAGCAAAACTTCATGTGAGTTAGCTAAACCGGTAAAATTAATATATAACCGGGTAATTAGACATCTAATATTGAACCGGTATTGTTATTAAAAGGCGGGTACGGGGTTGCAACGGGCGGACCATTAGCTTGGGGACTGTGTTACAACAAAGAGATGAGTCCTGATCAGCTTTATTGCGATGATTACTATAAATTAACATATCCTTGTACTCCTGGTGTCTCGTACCACGGTCGAGGAGCTTTACCGGTTTACTGGTACGTTCGTTTTAATTAGCATGATTTCGATTTTTACGATTTCGATTTATGTTTGGTGTGGTTTAGGAATTACAATTACGGTCAAACCGGGGAGGCTTTGAAAGCGGATCTACTGAGTCATCCAGAGTATCTAGAGAACAACGCGACGTTGGCGTTTCAAGCAGCGATTTGGCGGTGGATGACGCCGCCGAAGAAACATATACCGTCGGCGCATGATGTATTCATCGGAAAATGGAAGCCGACGAAGAACGACACGGCGGCGAAACGATCTCCGGGGTTTGGAGCCACCATTAACGTGCTTTACGGCGATCAGATGTGCAACAGTGGATTCGATAACGATGAGATGAATAACATTGTTTCTCACTACTTGTATTATTTAGATCTGATGGGAGTTGGAAGAGAAGAGGCTGGTCCTCATGAGACTCTATCTTGCGCCGATCAAGAGCCTTTCTCTTCTTCTTCCTCCTCCTCTGCTCCTCCAAGCTCTGGCTCCTCGTCTTGAATGAGGTTTTTCTTGAAATAAATGTCGGTCTAATTTGGCTTTCGAGGGAAAAAACTGTGAGTTCTATGTATGTATGTGTTTTGTGTTTTGCAAGGACTTGATGTTCAATATTTTGTACAAATATTCGTAAATCAGTATTTTTCTACATCCACACGTAGCTGCACAATGATAATAAAGTTAATGGCATGCACCAAATTTTCTGTATTTTTCTTGATAAAGGTAAAATTTTCAGTGTTCCATAGGAAGAATTGTTCTGTGTATAGATAGATAGTAACGTTTGATAAAAATGAATAAAAATCATAAAATTACCCTTTATATGTAGCTATTATCTATTTGTATGTAGCATAAATAGAAGTAATATCGTAGAAAATAGCTAGATTCCATATTTTCAATTAACTTCCCCAATTTATGTCGAACGATACACAGTGGCAGCCTGATCCTGAATTTGCATCGACGACCTTACAAATTCGTTCGGTTCAAATTAATTTGGGGATTTTCCGGTCCGCTAAACAAAAATAAAATAAAAAACCGGAAAAATCAGAAAATGCCATGTGGCAATTTTACCTTCCCCAAAACGGCCACACACACACTCCATATAAGCTTTCGACCTTTCGTCTTCGACTTCACCAACGTGTAAAAGACTTGTGATTGGATTCTCCCACTCACTTGAATTGACCATACCAGAAAGACGCAAGAGAGAGAGAGAGAGAAATGGCGGCAACTCCGACGACGAAGTTGCGTGATATCGATGACCTTCCAAAGATTCCGGCGAACTACACGGCGTTGACGCCGCTCTGGTTCTTAGATAGGGCCGCGACTGTTCATCCGACGAGGAAATCGGTGATTCACGGATCTCGGGAGTACACGTGGCGTCAGACTTATGACCGGTGTCGACGACTCGCCTCCGCTCTCGCCGATCGATCGATTGGTCCCGGTTCGACGGTAATCGCTCTCCCTCTTCCCTAATCATTTAATTAGTTTATTCCGAATTTATCGGTTGATTCTTGATTCCGGCTTGACTTGACGACTCTGGCTGAAATGTTCTTTTCCGAAAACATTGAACCGTTTCTTTTTTTTTTCCTCTAATTTTGGTGCGAAGATGAAATCTTATTTTCGACCCAAAATAAATCGATTTTTCCATTATAATACGATTTTGTAATTGTCCCAAAAAAAAAAAAACGTATAATCGCTAAGAAAAATGACTTACGAGATTATAATCGATTAGATTCCTTTTTTTTTTTTGGAAATCATCATGATAATGTAATAAAATCAAGTCCTAATTTCTTAGTTCTTGTGATTGCTCTAGCATGAATCTTGTTCATTTATGTCAAATGTTATCTTAACTTGTCATGAACAATATTGGTTATTGTAATCTGAATAATTTGCACTTGGTCAGGTGGCTATAATCGCACCGAACACTCCAGCAATGTACGAAGCTCATTTCGGAGTACCAATGTGTGGAGCCGTCTTGAACTGCGTCAACATCCGTCTCAACGCCACGACAATCGCTTTCCTTCTCAGTCACTCACAGAGCTGTGTCTTAATGGTGGATCAAGAGTTCTTTACTCTGGCAGATGAATCTTTGAGAGTCATGGAGGAGAAAGCCGGAAGCAGCTTCAAACGACCACTCCTAATCGTCATTAGTGATCACACCTGTCCTCCCGAGTCACTTAACCGCGCTTTATCGAAAGGAGTCGTGGAATACGAGGACTTTCTTGAAACCGGAGACCCGAATTATCCGTGGCAACCACCAGCTGATGAGTGGCAGAGCATCGCTCTTGGTTACACCTCGGGAACAACCGCTAGCCCGAAAGGAGTTGTGCTTCATCATCGAGGAGCGTATGTAATGGCTCTGAGCAACCCACTTATTTGGGGAATGCAAGAAGGTTCTGTTTACTTGTGGACTCTCCCGATGTTCCATTGCAACGGTTGGTGTTTCACTTGGTCACTTGCTGCTCTATCCGGTACAAGCATCTGTCTTCGTCAGGTATTGCTTAAGAGCTTTTAACTTTTCATTTCAAGAGGAAGAAGCTAACATATTCGAATGATCTGATGAAAATTTGTTGGTTTCAGGTCACTGCAAAGGAAGTGTATTCAAGCATAGCTAAGTACAAGGTTACCCATTTCTGTGCGGCTCCTGTGGTACTCAACACTATTGTCAATGCTCCACAAGAGGACACTATCCTTCCTCTTCCCCATAAGGTCCACGTTATGACCGCAGGAGCTGCTCCTCCACCTTCTGTTCTCTTCTCCATGAACCAGAAAGGCTTCCGGGTCGCTCACACTTATGGACTTTCCGAGACTTACGGTCCTTCCACTGTATGCGCTTGGAAGCCCGAGTGGGACTCCCTCCCTCCTCAGACGCAGGCTCAGCTCAATGCTCGCCAAGGTGTCCGCTATATCGGCATGGAGCAGCTTGATGTCATCGACACTCAGACTGGAAAACCCGTTCCAGCAGATGGGAAAACCGCTGGAGAGATTGTTTTCCGAGGGAACATGGTGATGAAAGGCTATCTAAAGAATCCGGAAGCTAACAAAGAGACGTTTGCTGGTGGGTGGTTCCACTCGGGGGACATCGCGGTGAAACATCCAGACAACTACATCGAGATCAAGGACCGGTCAAAGGACATTATAATCTCTGGCGGTGAGAATATCAGCAGCGTGGAGGTCGAAAACGTTGTCTACCATCACCCAGCGGTTCTTGAAGCCTCTGTTGTGGCCAGGCCTGACGAGCGGTGGCAGGAATCTCCGTGTGCGTTTGTGACGCTTAAGAGCGGTTACGAGAAGCGCGACCAGGATAAGTTGGCTCAGGATATCATGAAATTCTGCCGGGAGAAGCTGCCGGCGTATTGGGTCCCAAGGTCGGTTGTGTTTGGGCCGTTACCTAAGACGGCTACTGGAAAAATTCAGAAGCATGTTTTGAGGACCAAGGCCAAAGAGTTGGGACCAGTTCCAAGAAGCAGGTTGTAGAAAGAAAACGAAAAGCTAAGTAAAATCATTTTGAACAATAATGTGTTGTATGTTTTGTACAACTTTGTCTTGTATGGTCTTTCAAAAAAAATTCATATATTTTTTTCATATTTCCAAAAAATAATATTGTATATATATTCTTTTCATACGATAGCAACAATATACGTTGGCCACAATTGTAAACTCACACACGTATACATACTTACATATGGACAATGTATAAAAAAGATAACTCTTGCTCTCAAATCAATAGTCAGATCCCAGTCCCACCCATATTAATAAGGTCAAATATGAAGATAAGTGTAACAATAAAAGCGCAATCGACATTAGGATATATTGTAGCCACTAATCTTTCATCTCCTTCATGTACCTGTTTATTATATCCACATATATGACAATATTTGTTAAGTAAACTTATTTATTGATATACTAAAGAAACGTTTTCATCGCCTTTGCTTTTCAATTTATTTATTGACCTGAGCGATGATTTTCGTGGAGTCTCCAGCATAGATTGTACATGCACGCTTCATAAACCGGCCTTTGATTGTGAAATCACAAGACGCTTCTCTGGTCTGGTTATGCTTCAAGAATACTTCAACTCTTGTCTTCAACTGAACTGTTGAAGATCTTTTTACCGTGAAGATCTTATCATCTAAATCACTTCCTCTATACACTTGCCACCGATCGTGCTTACTAGTCACCTTTAATATATTCAAATCCAAAGCATAACCAAGATTCAACTAAGATAAAAAAAATTGACCGGTTAACAGAAAGAAAGTAAGAAAACTAATAGTAACTAAGGGGGTAAGAAACTAACTAAAACCTTCATTTTCATGGTGACAATGGTAGAGTCATTAGGATCAATCAAAATCCGTTTGTTGTGGAGACCAAAGAGAGGCGTTTTGACTTTGAACACTTTGTTTCCATTTGTGTCCTTCACTGTATCTCCGATGATCGTTAGATCCGTAGGTTGAGGACTAACAAACTCAGGTCCTATGATTGGTATCGTGTTGCTGTGATTGGGATCTTGGTTTGCCATTATTGTGTTGTTTGAGTGGAGGTGATAATAAAATAGGACATTTATCAAGTTTGAATTTATTGATCTTTGGTTATGACTTTTTCTTGATTTATTCTGAAACTAAAATACATATTATATTTGGATTCGTTGGTGTATACAAGCTGTATATTTGGATTCGTTGGTGTATACAAGCTGTATTAATAGGCAAACTGATTTTCATTCTGTTAGTAACAAATATATTTTTGTGAAAAAGTCTATAAAAAGCTTACTAAATAAGATTTGTTATAACACATATCATATATGGACTCTTATACCGGCCCATTAGGCCATCAGGGCATTGTACTTAACCTAGATTCCCTATGTACTCTATATATACATTCCAATGATTAATAAAGTTTCTAAGTTTTCACAACACGTTATCAGCACGATAAGACTCTCTGAGCGAAAAACCCTAATAAATCCGGCCACCACCAAAACCCTAAAAGCAAGTCGAAACTTAAAAGACGCATATCTTCCAAACCGTAAGGAACCAGAAGACGATCTACATATCAAATCGAAGCCCTCGACGAGACAAATCTACTGGTGAAAACCGTTTGTCGATCCAACGTCGGACGCGCCCTCACGCACACTTACAGTACAAGGTAGGAGAAGATGACTAGGATGAATTAAGGGTAGATATACATACATATTCTACACCAAGAAGAGATAGTAGAGAATTTGTAAAACGATAGAAGATGGAGACACTTAGAAAGGGATGGGGTCTTACAAGGTCAAGAAAAGGCCTTACAAGGTCAAGAAAAAAGAAGAAAGGAATGAAACAATTGAGTTTAGGAAAAGAAAAAAAAAATTTAAGGAAACAATATGCTCAGGTAGGGATAACACTGGATTATCAATGAAATTGGATTTCCAAAGAGAAACATAATGTGTCAGCACAAAGAACCCAATAATCTTTATGCGTCATGATGGTTATGGTTTTGTTGTTGCCTGCAGAGACCAAAATATAAAAAAAGAAACTGATTACTCTTCACGATTATAAGTGTATATTATGTGATTCCAAATATTGGATATTGTTTTTGAATTTTTGAGTCTTATACTATATTAGCTTCAAAACTCCAGACCATACGTGTACATAAGAGAGCTAGATTGTGCACAACTAACTACATGTATCACTCTATATACACATGTTTATATATCACTCTGTAGCATGTGTTAAGCTGCGCATATTCATACTTGTGATAAACATATGTGCCAAGAATGACGATGACTAAGAACCCTCCTCTTCGTAAATCGAAAGAAGCGAAAGTGTGTGGATAAATATATATGCGATATGCATGTATACATAACTAATGACTATGTATAGACACCTCTACACTATATTATGTATTATATAATTCAGTACTTATAGATATCCTTATTAATCTTTTTTACATCATTAAGATATCAACAATGAACAAACATGACTTCGAACTGAGGAAACCCTGACTCTTCACATTACATATACAATATCATCATCACACATAGATATATGTATGTATTTTATTTACCTTGAAGAAATTCATGCCTCGTTTTTGTCATCCATGAGAGCTCTTCTCCCTGTTCCATTTCAGAGAGAGAGAGAGAGAGCGAGAGAGAGAGAGAGTTTTGAGAAACGGTGGGATGATGATTGATGAAGAAAGTGTCGCGGATGAGTGATATTAAAGCGATGTTTATATAAAAAAACAGATAACAAACCTAATTTGCACACAAAAAGAAGAAGATAATAACCTTCATGGGCCGGGCCCAATTCTGACCTTTGCGAGGGATCGTGGCGTTGTCTTTGCTTGAAACGAGCTATTTAGGTGAACTTGATGACGTCATCGTTGCGATATTCATAGACCAACCTGCCCGAACACCTGACCGTTCTGCCCGGAGGTGGTCCTTTCCTCTGAGTTAGTAGTTTCTTTGGTCCTAATAAGCGAAACAAAAGTCAACAGGTCACATTTTACTTTTCTCTTTCTTAAATTGTCAACAGTTTCTACTTTTCTTTTATAATTGGTTTTCTCATGTTAAATGTATTCTTAAAGTAAAGAGAACTTACAGTATATTCTAATTTACGTGATTTAATCGTAATTTTTTTATACATTCTAGTTGGACTAGGCTTCATAGCTATATAATTATTCACTAATTGGTGAAGAGACTGAGTTTGAGGAAATTAAGAGAATCTTGGTAAATGGAATTCCTCAATCCTAGAGAAAAACACTAACTTTCAAAATTCAAAATAAATCATGTTCACATACGATAGTTATTCTCCAGAAAAGATGATATATAATGTATTTTTGTTTCTATTTATCAACTTTGTGCATTTTTTAAAACCAAATGTATAACTTTTTAAAGAGGTTTCTTTTTCTATAATGTGTTTTTTTTTTTAGTTAGGAGATTTTTACTATATTCAAAAAGATTATCCATCTACTGAATAATGAAGTAAGCTAAGGAAAGATCGAACTCGTAAAAGAGTCATTTCAAATTAAGTAATTAAAAATCTGAGATTTGTGGGGAATAGAAACTTTGTGGGCGTGCGGGAGAATCACAGTCTCCTAAGACATAAGATGGTCAAAGTAATGCAATAAATAGTAATATCAAATACATTGCTTATAAGTTATAAATTTATAACTATTACTATCATTATTATATCAATATTGATGACGCCAAAAAGAATCCCTTGACCTGCGTTCCTAAATTAATCAATATATCGTTTAATGTGTGAATGTGATTATTAGTTTATACTTTATAGTTTATATACCGTATTAGTGGTTTATGGTCTTCACTCCTAAATAAAAGAATTTGGTGTCTTTTTTTAAAAAATGCATTTTTGGTAAATACAAAACCAGGACAAGGCTCTTAATTTCTCAAAAGGGATGGTCCCCTAAATTTATGACGAGTAAGAATGAGAGTAATGATTTTTGTTTCATTTATTTTTTTGCCCATATCAACCCGTCCGTTCCTCTCTTTGTAGTTTGTACTATGTTTCAGTTCAGAGAATTTTGATTACTTGCCCTCAACATTCTCACCAATTCTAGTTTTGGTCCCATAACTTATCAATATCTAGTTGAACTGGTAGAGAAAAACTGTGATGTAACATGTAAAAAGTGAGGAAACATAAAAAATTTATAGCAATTTCCAAGAATTGCTCTGAATATTCATTATGTGAAGTTAAATATTTATTTTACAGAGGGATACGATATTTTTCAGTTTTTGTTATGGAATGGAAACATATAAACAATCACAATATCAGTGAGTCTACGGAAGAAGATACTAGGATTTAGTTGTCATTTAGTTAGCCCATTATCAGCCCATCGTAAAGTAACGAATGCTATCGAAATTTTCTTGTTTTTTTTTCAAGTAGATCGATTTTTCAAACACTGAGCAAATTTCTGGGGTGATTTTCCTTCTCGAAATTTGACATCTCTACAGCCACCAGCATCTCTTCCACATCTCTACAGCAATGCTTTACCGTTCAGTTTCAATGCCTACATTCTGGAATATCTAATAAATTATTTAGTCAATATCATATTTCTACATTTCATAATAACCAATATCAACTTACCTTCTTAATCAACTGCTTATGTAAAAGCAACATGCCCAAATTTACTAAACAGTCATTTTCATGTGAAGTAAATCTAGCATCGACAATTTTACCAGTTTTTTATAAGAATTTTTCTCTGCATTTTAATTATCGAACAACAAAAATTATATCCGAAAAAACAAAATAAAAGTTATATATACTTATACATCGATCAGATCACATAATCTCTCCACCGCTTTTTCTTTTGGAGCACTATTTCATTAAGAAGATATTAGTGGGAGTTAGATTTTTAAAGATTTAACGGAAAAAGACTCTCCTCTACAAAGAACCACGACATATTTATTAAGGATGAAAGATGACCGACCATGTGTTCTTGCTCTCTTAACGAGGCAATCTGCACGAATATTTTTACAACGAGTGATATAATTAACTAATAGTATTAAAAAAAGGGAAAAGGTCTTAAGATTTTTAAAATTTCGTTAGCTCCACTGCAAACATATATATGCCACTCTTGACAGATTAGCCAACATCGTTATAATCTCGATTGGTGCTATCCGAGGCCAATCTGATCACTGGTCAAAGGGATCGATGATATTAGGCATTTCATGTCCCAAAGAAGAGATTCGAGTTAGAGATTCAAGTTCTGTATGAAAGGGTGACAAACATTACGTGATCCTTTCAGATCTAGTGGATAAATCTGTCCTCCTCCACTCCACTACGACCCATCCGTGTCCGCATGATAACATATTCAAAAAAAAAAAAAATATATATATATATATCATAGCAAAACATGCACAACTAAGTTTATATATATATTGAACGTTTTTTTTAGCTGTTTTACGTTGGATTTCTTCTATGCGTCTACTATTTAAACATCAATGCGTCTAGAAGCTTTTTAGCATGAGATGGTTTCTGAATCAACTAAACACATAAGTCATATATAATACGAAGATGAAAAGGTTTTGGTGATCATGTCTAATAATTTCAAAAATACCCTAAGGCATATATATGCTTAACAATAGCTCTTAAAGTTTTGATTGTTCTAGGAAGAAAGGGTTAGGTACTAGTGTTAGTGCTTGTCTTCAATTGTTAGATAACGACGCCAACAGTGTCGTTCTTGACTAACTCGAATGGAAATGTCATTTATCACAAAATATTGACACCGATTAGTTATTCATGGTATATATAAATAATTCTGGATATATTTTGGGGTAAATATTTTGGATCTTTTCTATAACATATCCACATCATATGCATTATGAGCAGAAAGCTGAGAGTTCACTAAATCATGAGGCTAAGCCTTTAGGAAGTTGTAAGATGTGGAATCTCATTATTGACTTTGGTTCTTCGTTAGTGAGTTAGTGCCAGTCACATGATAATAAGTGGAGCTAAACACTTGGCACATCACGGCCATCTCAAACCTTACTAAAATTCGAAAAAACATTAGTATGCGAACAAATACGAAGTTTCTTTTTTTTTTCTAACCATCAAAATAAAATATGTAGATCTTAAGGGCTTTTTAGTTGCAACTAGTGAGTGACGTCTAATAGATACCTATTCACTTGAATTTTTTATCAGATCTAAACTTTATTTTATCTAATTTCTCACAGTAT